AGGTGGCTCTTTGCCAGGAGCACCTCCACGTCGGTGCCTTGCCTAAGTCGAACTCAGGGCCGTAGAGCCCAAAGAAAGGGTGGCATCACTGTTGCTGTATTCTCGTTTTAGCATATGTTAGTATATTAGTTGCGTGATTGTCTTGGTATTAGTACTAGAATATGAAGTTGCGACCAGGGGGCCGATTCACCTTCGCAGTCCGACTCAGCAAAGCATTTCAACTCTCGATGCGCTTTCACATCCTGGTCCAAGCCTTCTCCACGAAATCAAGGATCCGCACGATGTCCGCCATCACCGTCGAACAACGAGCCTTTTCCTCCTCCAGCGTGCGCATGCGCTCCAGGCCTTAGAACAAGGACCCCGAGATGCCATTGCAGCTTGGGGAACCAGGCTAAGGAGGAGAGAGCTGCGATAGTTGATGCATCCAGCCAGCACACGCACACAAACACACAACGTGCAGACGCGCTTACACAAGGCTGCATGCACACACTCATGCAGCATGTATACGTACATACATTATTTGAAGCCGTGGTGACCCTGGTGTTAATTCACAATCAAGTCTACAGTAGCATGGATGGCTGTGCCATGTTCCAAACTTCGTTGCTTCTGTTGCCGGGTGTCTCGTCTCCTGCAGCTGCTGCACGAGCTCGGCACTCCGGGCCTTTCCGGAAGGGCGCACGACTATCAAACACCCTGCCTTGCTCTGTTGCTATATCACGTGATGTAACGCAACACAAGTACCAGAGGTCTTTCGTACATTCTGCCCAGTACTTGCTGCACTTACGATACCATAATATACGAGTACAGCTCCAAACACAACACTTCTTCCAGGGGGAGAGAAACCTGACACTTGACCTACAACAGCCGCGTTTCCGTGGAGATTGCCGAGAAATGTGTGCACGTACACAAAAGCATTGTGCAGCTAGAAACCATGGTCCATCAGATGCTGCAGCCCACCTCGGCTGCAACCTGAAGCTCATCGAAAGCTCTTTCGATGTTGGACTGGGCCTGTCGCAAGGCAGCAGGAATCGTTTCTTGCATGGCATGTGAAACCATGCCAGACATCTCCGCACGAAGATTGCCATCTTGTGCGTGTGCTTTGCTCATTGCTGTCGCCAGCGTCACGCGGAAAGCACAGCCCGGTCCCCAGGCGGCGGCCCCCGCGGCGGCCTGCATGCAAGCAAGCTCCGAGGACTCGAAGCCTCAGCCGCTGCGCCGCTGGGGGGCGCTCGGGGCGGCAGACATCGAAGCGAAGCGCCTGCTTGCGGGCTGGAGGCTCTGGTTCAAGACTTTGAGCATCGCTTGGTCGTCCAGAAGCTGGTTGCACATCATCTCGATGATGTCTTTCACCCGCTGCCGGTGCTCCCTCGGCTGCGAGTCTGACTTTCGTGGAATCCTGGCGGTTCCTCCGGCTGAGGCCGAGGTGCTCGAACAAGGCGGCGGACGGCAGCTTGTACCTGCCAGGTTCTGCCAGCGCAAGCCACAAGCAGATGGTGATACAGTATACAGCATGGTGAAGGCATCGTAGATGCTGTGGCTCGGGCGACTGGACATGACTCCCACAAAGCATCCCATCCCAGGTTCTCGGGCTCTCTTTCGCTCTGACGGCCGCCCGGCGCCGCCCGGCCTGTGCTGCTGATGGTCGGTCCGCGCGCACTCCGGGCAGATGAGCATCTCGCAGTCTTCGCCTGCGGTCTTCTTTCCCGGCCGCGCAGTTTTGTGAGCAGGGCTGTCAGCCGAGTGGCAGTACAAGTCATAGCGGCTGGTGCGGTGGATGGCACAGTACTGCGCTCGGTGCATGTTCCGAACCTGCGAAGCACAGGGAAGCAGTTCGGCATGGTCTGAAGAGTGCCGGTCTTGGGGGCTCAGCCTGATCTGGCAGGACCTTGCTCTCGCCCCTGCTTTCCACCAGCTTGACCAGGACGTGGTTCGTCGATGCTCTGGCTCGGCGATGCCTGATAGCTTCATGAACAACTTTGCCATTTCTCCATCCCGCCTTTGGCTGACGGGCCACTGCTTGGTGCAGCTCTCGCAGAGGTTCATGATGCAGTCCTCACAGTAGAACTCGGCACCTGGGTGAAGCAGCTCACCCCCCAGTGTCCATGACTGCCAACTGCAGCTACCCAACAAAGAAGTCCAGGCACGGTAGCCCGTGATGCACTCTTCACAGAGGAAGTCGCTTTGCGCCACCTTCTGGCTGTCGATGGCATGGAGCAAGTCGAAGTTCGGAAGATACTGATGAAGAGCTTGCCTTGAGATGGAAAGGGGCTTGCTGGATGCTCACACGGCTCAAAGCTACGAGATCTGCCGTCCCTGAGAAGTTTCTCGAAGGCGATGCACAAACACCGAATCGCCCATTTTGGCATGTGGGTGCATGTGGGCCATGTGGCATTTTCTGGGTTCGGCGGCCGCACTGAGGACAGTCGAAGGCATCCCCTTTGCTGTTGGCCACCAGAGTTTGCAGGCACGACGCACAGACGCTGTGGAAGCAAGGCCTCAGAAGCTCCGGCATTGAAAGACTCCCGAGGCCTAGAAAACAGGACCCCTTGGAAAAAGGAATAAATGAAATTTAAGGAAGGAAGCTTGAAGCCCGTGTATACTGGTCTGCCGTGAAGTAAAGTATGCAACACAGATGCAGGGGAAAAACCACCTATGGGAGAAAAGCCCTGAAAGCAAATTTCCTGATGCAGCGCTCACGAGGGCTAGTTAGACTCCAAGGCCAGTGGCAGGACCTTCACTTCATGCCGTCCTTCGTAGAGGGCGGTGTCATGCAGGCTCAGCTTGCACATGACGCAGCCGACCTTTCAGGCTTTCCCCCATCTCACAGCTAAGCTGGTGGGAAACTTAGACTGCTTCTCATGAATGTCGCTGGGTGGTGCTGCTTATGCTGGTAGTGGTTCGTGGTGCGGCGACGGTCTTCCTGCGGAAGGCCGCCCGGCGGTCGGCTCTGAGCCCTGGGTGGGCGAAGCTCTCGTCTCCTAGATGCCGCGCTCCGATGGATCGAAGCAGCTTTGAAAGTTTCCGAAAATTGGGGGGGGGAGGGGGGGGATCGCTATTTTGGTGTCCTTATACAAGGGTCCGATTGTTTTAGGGTACTCTATTAGGGTCCCTAGTTTTTGGAAACTCCCATTTCGGGCTTGGGATGCTGGAGGGGGGCCTCGTGGGTGGCATCGTCCACATAATCGAAGAACTCCCCTTTGCCGGTCGCCAGCTGCTGAATCAACGAGTCGACCTCTGGGCAGACCTGCAGTCGCCAGGCACAGGCATCTACTATCATCTATTTCTGGACTCAGGTATCTCCATAATTAGTTGTTAATTATCTTTGCGATTCCTGCATATGTCTGCCTACCTTACAAAGGCTCGAGGACTGTTGCCAACACAGGGCAAAGATGATGCAGCTGAGGCAATCAGGACTCAACTCTTACCGGCGGATCCTCAAGACTTCGAACCGCCGAAATCTGAAAGGCCCTAAACCCTGCCCTAAACCCTAAAATCCCAGAACCCTCCCAGAACCCTAAACCCTAAAAGGCCCTAAACCCTAAAATCCCAGATCCCTAAACCCTTGTCCACAACCCTAAACCCCTCCTCAGCCCTGGCCCGGTCCCCGATGCCTTGACGGAGGGGAGCTGAGTTTCCTGAACGGGGCGGAAGCCCCCCACTCTGAAGGAACCCTTGCCTCCAAGGACTCCTTCAAAACAGCTTGCGACAGCGACATCTGCTTGAAGCTACCACTAAGGCTCCTGTGCGTGTTGCCAGGTCCACTAAGGCTCATGTGTGTGTGGGGGGGGGGGCCTCCATGCAGCAAGTGAGAAGAGAAAAATACATGTAAAACTGAAAGACATCCCTAGCATGCGTTGGTCCAGCCTCTGAGTCATCGACACTGGTGGGCACCGGCACCAGGAGCTTCTTGTTCAGTCCGAAACTGTCCAGCCTGTCAGTTCGACGGTCAGGCGCTTCACCAGAGTCAGCCCGCACGCGTCACGCACAGGCTCCACGGATGCATTCCGTAAAGCAGGGCCCCTGGACGTAAGCTTACACGCATACCTGGCATACGCGGAACCGGTCTCAGGGAACCTGGAGGACAACGGACCGGCAGCCGCCGCCGCACGCTCCACTGCCTGCGCGGCGCCCACAGAGGCACCAGGATCGAGAATTCCACCGAGATGGCCCAAGTGTGCGGACTTCTGCTGGGTGCCGGCCTCAGTGCACTTTACGAAACCTTTTTGGTGCTTTCTCCCGCCACACATGCAGCGGAGCTCTCTGAGTTTCCCTTGTTTCAGTGTTTCCCCGGATTGGCATCAAAGCTGCGCTCAGCGACGAGGCCGACCTCAGTGGCACTGAAGAAGAGGCGCAAGTTCAAGCAGCGATCACGAGCAAACCCCACACTGGCAGTACTCCGTGCGTTCGCTTCGTTTCGACACTTCTGCCGATCCTGTATCTCTTGACCCTTTGCAGTGCAAGCGGGCTGCGACAGGGATGAGAAGGACCTTGAGTCCAGGCGTTTTGGGCCGTCTTTCATGCGGTGGACTCGACTTGCGCCACGGACGACTCCATCGCTTCACGAGGATGCCGGCCCCAATGGCCCATTCAATTATTTATATATATATATATACACTGTATAGTGTACTATTCAAACAGAGAAATATGATATAAGCTGTCTTGAAGCTGTCTTGAATGAGGATGCATTACGGGATGTCCTGGGCTGGAACTAGCATCGGACAATCACGTCACAGCAGGGCAACTGGGACATTCCTGCTTCTTTCAACTTCTTTCTACTGACTGACTATGCTTGATCCGGTCGCCCGGGATTCTCGCTCTGCTGCCGAACATATGACGAGCTGAGGCTGTACAAAAAGCATTCAAAGCTGCCATGCAGGGTTCTCACTCGCTCATACTTCAAAGATGGCCTCGCGGCAAATCATTAAAAGCCTGTGCCCAAGGCTGCCTGTTTTGCAGAGCTCAACGCACCAAGCAGCGCACATGGCCGAGACTACCACAGATTATGCACACACACCGTCACACCACTGCCACTGGGCCACACCGCCCTGCAGCTGCTGCTTGTGCGCTGTGGCCGCTCTCCGGATGGCTTTCTGAAAGGCCCCATGTCTTGCTTGTACTTGTCCTCGCCGCCAATGGTAAGTAGTGCAATGGTAGGAGTAGGAAGATTATGAAAGGAAGTAGTAGAGAGGAGTGTTATACATCGCAGCCGTCATCGAGAACGAAGGATAAGACGATGCATGCTCATCCGCCCCGTGCTTAAGCTTAGCTGCACGGACTAGGCAGGGGGCAGATGACGACTCAGCGGGAACACATTGGTCCCCACCGAATCATCAAGGGCAGGCAGCAACCCTCGTTGTAGATTTTCACCAGGGTCTCTAGCAGCTGCTGCGGATTCAAGCCCCTTGCAGATGCACCTTCTCGGAGCCACGCACCCTGATCAGAGCGGGTCGAGTCTAGCTGTTCCCAAACTAGAGCCTCAACACACTTTCCAGCAAGCCTCATCCGGGCGCAGTTTGCCTGACGCCCGAAGGTGGAGGCGTCGGAAGCCACATCTGCCAAGCAACTTGCTCTCTGCAAGCACAGATCGGACAAGCAAATCGTGGCTCGACCTCCCACACGCTTGACTGATGAGCCTGATCTAACCCTGAGCTCATGTCTATAAGCTGTACTCCACAGGTGCCATCCGCTCGATAAACCGTGAGCATCCACCCGCCAGCGTCTAGGCACTGTCGTCCACGGGAACCGTGCGCTCGTGTTAACCATGCGAACTCAACATTCCCCCCCCTCCGCAGGCTTTTGGGATCCCAAGTCTCGGCACTGTCTTCTACGGTTGACATGCGCTCATGTTAACCGTGCGAGCTCGCAAAAAGCTCTTTTCTCCTCATCCCTCCGCCAGCTGGGCTGTTGGGACCCCATGTTGACAACTGCACTCTGCAGCTGCGATCCGCTCGCTTTAGCCCTGAGCTTGCAGAGAGCTCGTCTCAACATCCCCCCGCCAGCTGGGTTGTTGGGACTCCATGTTGATCAACTGCACTCTGCAGCTGCGATCCGCTCGCTTTAGCCCTGAGCTTGAGAAAGCTCGTCGCAACATCCCCCACCAGCTGGGCTGTGGGGACCCCATGTTGAACACTGCACTCTGCAGCTGCGATCCGCTCGCTTTAGCCCTGAGCTTGTGCAGAGCTCGTCTCAACAACCCCCGCCAGCTGGGGTGTTGGGACCCCATGTTTAGCAGCTGCGCGATCCGCTCGCTTTTGCCCTGAGCTCGCAAAAAGCTCGTTTCTCAACATCCTCCCACCAGCTGGGCTGTTGGGCATGATCCTTCAGTTTAGCCCTCAGATGCCCTCAGCATGGAACCAGAAAACAGTAAAGTCAAGCAGCGGGCCACCTCTTCCAGAAACCGCGGGCATCGCGAGCAGCCACCAGTGCGACCCAGTGGTGCTCGCGTGCGAGGGCGTCTTCCACCATGACACGCCCTGCCTGCAACGACGAGTCAACGAGATCGCAACAACAAGTTGAAAGGAACAAACTGACACGTCGCATGCGACGGTACCTGCGACGCCTGGTACGCAGCTGTGGCGTCAATCACGATGCCTGCACAGAATTTTGGACTTGTAAATCTTCCAGTTCTGGTGGGGGCATTAACATGAAAAGCAATTCGAAACAGTGAACCTCTTGTGCCGATGGCCGGCATCGGTACTGCAGTACCCACTGCAGGTGGTCCAGGACGGTCCGGTGAAGGCCGATTCGCTTCAGCGGCACCTCGCGGCTGGCTTCACAAACTTGTGGTGTTGGTTGAGTTTTGTTGTGTGGACCTGGCCACTCAGCCACTTTCGAACACGTCGTGGCGGCTCAGCTTCGCGGAGGTGTGGGACCTCCTTGAGAAGCTTGCCCGGCCAGGGCCGGACAACCGCGGCCTGCAAATCAGCTGTTGCACCGGCTCGTGAGGCTGTTAAGCGGCCCGGGCCATCTCGTACAGGCCGCCCTGCTCCAGAAGTGGCCAACCACGTACAAGTTCCAACACCGTGCACCTGGCACGTTTAGAGGTAGATCGCTTGGGCAGCGATGCCTTGTGGGCCGTGCCAGCATGACCCGTAGGACCCACAGGTCGGACCGAAGGCGCAAGGTTTGCCCGGGGAAATGTTCCGGGGCGGCGTACCGCCTCGTTCCCATGTAGGCTGTCTTGTCGCCATCGTACCTCGAGAATGAAATGCTCCTTGACGCCGCGCTTCGCTTCGTTTCGTCGTGGTTCTGCTGCATGGCTGTTGGGATTTCACGTCTTGGAAAAAGTGGTGTGTGATCCCTTCGTTTGCGCTCAGCTCAAAATCATTCGTTTTGCCTCCGGATTCTCAAAATAAAGAGGAATCATCGCCTGCGGGCGAGCTCAAACCGACGCTGGCGGTCCTAGAACCCACGTGCTCCGCTATCGGATTCCCCACTGCCCTCCAAAAACTCCCGCCAGCTTGGCTAGTGGAGTCCCTTGTCTACGGACTTGGCTGTGTGATGCCCTGTTTTCGCCCGCAGTTCACAGACAGCCCGTTTCCCAGAACCCCGCCAGCTTGGCTGCCGGGCAAATCATCCCGCCTGCCACTACAACTTGGCGTTTTGAGGTTGCGGTCCATACGCGTTGTCCTACGTGAGAGATGGGAAAGTGCCAGCTGAAGAATTGTGACTTCTCTGGGTCACGCAGCCAGGCCAAAGTCGATCAAGCGCGTGGAGCATGACAATGGCCGCAAAAGCCTTCGCAGCAAGAGCTTCACATCATGATCTTGTAATGGTTGTCAGCACCTGCCCTCCGCGCGCACTCCGCCGTGGACCAGCAGGATGTTCGCGGGCTTGAGGTCTAGGTGCATGACCTGAGGAGTGTATCACTAGGGCCGTTCAGGTTGGCCTGCAGGCCACGTGATCAGGCCTTGCGCGCATGCAAGTATGCCAAACCGTGCAGCACATTGGCTGACAGCTGGCGCACATCCTGTACCGGATGCGAGATGTAGCAATGAGTCGAAGCATGGAGTGCTGGAGTGGCGTCCTCCAGGCAGCACCCTGACCAGCGCCATGGTCGGAGAAAGAGTCTGTTCGGAGAGTTTCGCATCCAAAAGCCGCCGGGCTGCTGTTGCTCAAGCATCTGGGCCAGGCTGGGTCCCAGCAAGGGGAACACCAAATGCAGTTGCCTCAGGATCTCGGGCACAAGGGTGCGCTGCGGGCTGGCGGTTTGCTGACCGTTCTCCTCCGCTTCACAGTAACTTCGAAGAGCTCGATTCATGAAAACTCCCGCCAGCTTCGCTGTTAGGGCCTCATGTTTGTCTGTTTTCCATGGTCCCCGCAGTTTCGCGCCAAACTCAACTCAAAAAGTAGTCGTGTCCACGAAAACTCCCACCAGCTTGCCTATTGAGGCCTCACGTTTGTCTGTCTTCCATGGTGCCCGCATTTTCGCGCAAAACTCAACTCACAACGTAGTCGTGTCCACGCAAACTCCAGCCAGCTTGGCTGTCACATTGGCTGTTGGGGCCTCATGTTTATCTGTTTTCCATGGTCCTCGCAGTTTCGCGCCAAACTCAACTCAAAAAGTAGTCGCGTCCACGAAAACTCCCACCAGCTTGCCTATTGAGGCCTCACGTTTGTCTGTCTTCCATGGTCCCCGCAGTTTCGCGCCAAACTCAACTCACAAAGTAGTCGTGTCCACGCAAACTCCCGCCAGCTTGGCTGTCACATTGGCTGTTGGGGCCTCATGTTTATCTGTTTTCCATGGTCCCCGCAGTTTCGCGCCAAACTCAACTCAAAAAGTAGTCGTGTCCACGAAAACTCCCACCAGCTTGCCTATTGAGGCCTCACGTTTGTCTGTCTTCCATGGTCCCCGCAGTTTCGCGCCAAACTCAACTCACAAAGTAGTCGTGTCCACGCAAACTTCCGCCAGCTTGGCTGTCACATTGGCTGTTGGGGCCTCATGTCTATCTGTTTTCCATGGTCCCCGCAGTTTCGCGCCAAACTCAACTCAAAAAGTAGTCGTGTCCACGAAAACTCCCACCAGCTTGCCTATTGAGGCCTCACGTTTGTCTGTCTTCCATGGTCCCCGCATTTTCGCGCCAAACTCAACTCACCAAGTAGTCGTGTCCACGCAAACTTCCGCCAGCTTGGCTGTCACATTGGCTGTTGGGGCCTCATGTTTATCTGTTTTCCATGGTCCCCGCAGTTTCGCGCCAAACTCAACTCACAAAGTAGTCGTGTCCACGCAAACTCCCGCCAGCTTGGCTGTGGGGGCCTCGTGCTTATCTGTTGTGCATGGTCCCCGCAGTTTCGCGCCAAACTCAACTCACAAAGTAGTCGTGTCCACGCAAACTCCCGCCAGCTTGGCTGTCACATTGGCTGTTGGGGCCTCATGTTTATCTGTTGTCCATGGTCCGCGCAGTTTCGCGCCAAACTCAACTCGCAAAGTAGTCGTGTCCACGAAAAGCTGTGATCCCATCGCTGTCGTCGCCAGCTCACAACGAACTCGGTTCGGGTCCCAAGCCTCCCAACTCCTCGTTTCACCCTTAGCTCACAAAGAATCCCAACATCCCCAGCAGCTTGGAGGGCATGCTGGCACGATTGCGGTTCGCTGAAAGGGAGGAAGGACGCGGTAGGAGAAGGGTGGCTGAAGTGCCATTCTCAGTGAGGTCAGGAAAAATGCAGCTCCTGTCAACCTCACCAAACCTGGCTTCGCTCAGAGCCACACCCACTGCAGGCCCAGGCTGTTTGCAATAGCCCAAAGTGGGCACAGCTGGCTCCAGCCTTCTTCAGCTCCTGGAGACAAGCATTATCTGACACAGGACCCGTAAGGCTCGAAGGTAGCATCAGAGACCCTCCGTCAGCATTCGCAGCTCGCGACTCAATGAGGGAACTGAGCCCAGTTTGATAGCTACCTCTGGCATTCAAGCGATTGCTGCCTGTGTGTTCATCATGCCGGCTGACTCCTATAGTCTGAGTCTGTAACCCGCGTGCCACCCTTGTCGGCCAAGTAAACCTTGTCTCGTGAGTTCTCCACTGATGCTTCAGAGATCTTCAGAGGGTGATGGCGGTGTGTGATCGCCTGGCTTTAACCCTGAGCTCACAAAGAGCTAGTTTCCTCACTGTCAGGATCCAGCATCCAACATCTACACAGCAGAAACATTCGCGGCTGTGGTTCAACCTTTCGGGCGAACACCTAGGCGAAAGTATTTCGTCGGACTGAGAGATTCAAGTCGCCACGAATTGCGGCACATGAATCGCACGCAGCCTGCATGGCTTGGTTCCAGAATCCCGTGGCCCTCCACACTTGCCTGCTTCCATCGTGCGCAGAGCACAAACAAGTATGCATAGTGGCTGCACCGAAGCAGAGCCAGGCGAGGCACTTTGCCGAAGCCACCCTCGCCCAGCTCGGCACACATACCTGAACATCAAGGCCAGAACCCCGCGCAGCCCACAGCCGCACCACAACAAGTGCGAATGCCTCTCTCACCCGGTTGCATCATGCGTCATCACACATGAGTCGATTTGAACACGATACAGTACAGACACAGATGGTGCAGTATCTGACGGCTGGCTTGGAAGATCCGAGCACTAGCCGCGACTCTCTGGTGCATTTTGTTTCTTTTTCAGTGGCAGGCAATCGTCTAGAGGCCTCGCAGAAGTGCGCACGGTTTCAAATCAACTCATTCCACAGCCATAAACTTGTGCTACTCCTCCTCCTCCTGGCGCTCTCCCCATCTCGGGGCTCAGTCCAACCTCGCCCCAACCACGAGCATGTGTCCTCCCGACGCTCTCCCCGCGTTTGAGATCACATCAAGACGAGCATTCTGCTTGCCATGCCACTAAAATTATCTGCTACTGTCTCGCACGTAACATGCTAAGTAATGTGGTCTGAAGCAGTTGTGGCTGGGTGGCTCCTTCGTCTTGCCGACCGACGCAGTCACGAAGCGAGCTTTGCGACACTCAGAAGCCAGATGGACCGATGCAACTCAGCGACTGACCGACTCATGGACCAGACGGCGAACGAAAAGACTGACCCTGTGCCGGGGAGAGAAAAACTGCGCGGGCCGAGCAGCTGAGCAGCACGAATCAAAAGACCCCACCCATGGCTCTCACGGCGCACTGCTCCGATGTACCGTCCGGTGCTGGAGCAGTCAGCACCTGCTGTGAGCCCGCGGGGCGCAATAAGGCCAGCAGGTTTGGCTCTACCGGCACCTTGCAGCTCGGGGAAATCGCCTATGCGAGAAGGGCCTGTGTTTTCTCAGGCGTCTGATCCGCATTAAAAAAGGCAGCGCCGTCGTCCTCCACATCCATCACGTCCGGCAGAGGAGGTGCGCCGCCGTCCACCGAGTCCTCCGGCCATGCCAGTAGTGTGCACGAGGCTCACTCCGATCTTAAAGTCTTACGGGAGAACTGTCTCATCCCCTGTGCATACCTTCTCCAGCACTTCCTTGGCAATGCTGTCTGTTCGGACCCTCCCGCGCACATCCATTCGGGCGAAGTGCACGGACAGCGTTCAAGAGACATGGAGACCTGCTTCAGCCTGCTTCCAAATGTTGGCTGCGAAGAGCTCGTTTCAAATTATCTCCTGCCATCTATAACCTCCCCAACAGCTCGGCTGGTGGGAGCATGTAGCGTACGAAGAGATCCTTTCCCAACATCCCCACCGGCTTGGCGGGCGGGATCACAATGTTGAGCAGTTCAGCAACTTTGGAACATCCCCGGGGGCTGGGCTGTCTGGGCTGTTGAGAATTGGGACATGCGGGGAAGTGAGGTCGCGAAGATAGAAGCGGGAGTTGGAAACGCGGAGGTGAAAGTCGTGGAACAAATGGGGCGGAAGTCAGAAAATACCAGCCACCAATCAAAACAACACACCGTCCTTGCAACAGAAATTCTCGGCGGGAAAGATTCCGAACGATCCGGCTTTTGAGCTACCTTCGAGCTCCGCGATTGATGGATCGGCTTCCGGCACGCAGCGCTCGCTCAATCCAGCATGGCATGGCGGAAGCAACAGTTGTGCTGTCATGGCACCTCCTGAGTCTCAAACCGATTGATTCCGATCGTTCGTGTCCAGCAGAACTGCCCCTTCCTCTGAGCGAGTCTTCTTGAGCGCCTCCTCTACCTGATTCACAACGAGCGGACAACAGACACAATGGCCCAAGACATAGACAAAGGACCTGGCCTCCGTGGGAGCCTTGGCTGAAGGCATGTCCCAGAAAACTTCCCGCAACAGCGTAGCAGCATGTTGCAGCTGCTGCAGCTTGGCCCCGGGGCCTCTGGCTCGGCAAAGTCCCGGAGTACCATTGACCGCCTTGAACGACCAAAGGCCAACATAAGGCGAAAGATAGAGGCAACAAAAAACCGTTCCATTCCGATCTCAATACGACCAATGAATGGTCGTCTTCGTGGTGATGGTGCCACTAGTGAGCCTATTTGGAGGGATTTCTAACAACTGGAAGCAGGAGACTCGATGACCCATCAATCCCGGAGATGGAAGGCCACCACAAGCCGGTGCCATATGGAGGAACGCAACTCTGTCGCTGTGCGTATACAGCTGACACGGCATTTGAAGCATACTGAAGCAAAACTGCTCTGAAAGTCATACAGCACCCGGAGTCCTGTGGCAGCAAAGCTTCACAACGACTGGTCCAGAGACAACAACATGCCGGCGGGAGGGCGGGGCACAAGTGAGCTGAAAGGCTAAGCCAGATCATGTCGGAGATTCCACAGTTCAACAGGCGGACATGACGTTAGAGCACCTCACGTCGCCAGCGTCGAGCAGACAAAACACAGACACACACACACACACACACACACACCAAAGAGAAACACTGCTGTGCAGCAAGGCGGCATCATGGGGCAAGTGGCCCAGCAAACGGCTGGCCGCCCAAAAACCCGGATCCATGCTCGAGGGCAGAAGCCTGACTTGCGCAGCAGTTGCAATAGGCACAAGATGTCCCAGCACATTGACATACTGACGACGCGTGAGTGACGAACAAAGGCCGTCGAAGCACTCCATCTTCCTGAAGCAGTTGTGGGCTCAGCCCCGCAATCTTCGGAGCCAAGCACTTACTGTCCAGCGCCTGACTTTGCTGGAGTTTGTGGCAGGAAATCACTCAACCCCGGGTATATTAAAGACGACACTTGAGCCATGACCGGCATGCACTGCAAGACATGCCGCGCAACATGACTCTGCAAGCTTCGACAAGGACCCGTCCCTGTGCCTCTGTCACTTTGCCGTCTTTTCCAATGGCAGCGGGCGTCTGCCAGTTGCAGGTGCTTTTCTCGCATCGGTCATTTCCTAATTTTGTGACGCTGACTCTCGGGCACTCGGGCAATGCCAGGCATGTCGACAAATCGAGCCTTTTCTTAATTGCGTTGTGGCAACGAACTAGCTTGGCACCATGTTCCAGGATGTTGGTTTCGGGAGGTGGATATCCATGCGACGTGTTCGCCGGGCATTGCAGGTACAGATCGCGACGCACGCGAAGCGGCCTTGCGGTTGGTGCAAGCTAGTCAAGGCCGCTAAGACGTCTTATGATGTTTGCGTGAGCGAAGCCATACCGTCTGAAGCTCTAGGTTGGCAAAGCTGGCAAACACCCACGCACGAACAAAGCAGAGCAGGTACAACTCCTGAAAGATCGCACAAGTACTGTGCTTCACTGGCTCGCAGTTGTCTTTCCCCCTCTGTCTCATGTGCGGTGGCCACAACAAACTCTAGACTCAGCTCTGGGACAACTCCGCCATGCCGTCAAGGCCAGGGAACTTCTCAAAAGAAAAAAGGCGCCGCTTGCAGGAGCCAGGGCTGTCGGAGCTCGGGAGCCGCCGGAGCCTCCCGTGGGTCAGAGGAAGTCATTGTTTGAAAAGGCTCTTCGGCGGATCTGGATAGACCGCAGACGCTGGAAGGCGGCAGACGGCGGCAGTCGAAGCCTCACATTGCGCTTCGCTCTTTCGGCTCGCCCTTTCGGCTCAAAGCAGGCTCAACCAACTGCTGCAGCTCCATCGCTCCATCTTCGAGGCGTCGGCATAATTTCGTCTCTGGCTCGTCTGTCCTGGTCCCTTGACCTGAAAGAGCCATACGGGCACTGGGGCGAGTGCGCCCTCCATCTAGTCATCTAGTCTCAGACTTCTCACCTGAAGGCTTACCGCCGCTTCTCGAACCATGCCGTTCTCGCCCTCTTGGACTGTGCTTGCGACACTTTCTGTCGCCTCATGTCCATGCTGCACTGCATGCTTGTGGCTTGAGATTTTCGACCAGCTCGTAAGTAAGACCCCGACGGCTTAGGCGACCATCTGCCGCGTGCGCCTCCTGATTGGAAAAAACTACACCATAAGTGAATGCACGGCATCTGGCCTGCAGGCGCTCTGCATTTCACTAGATTCGGCCGTTTCTATCTGACCATGTCTACACCCCACCTACTCACTCAGTCATTCTGACTCATTCTGCCTGCCTTTCTTTTTGCTCTACCATCCTCTTGTTCCACACAACCATCTTTCTTTCGGAAGGGCTGGGGGCAGCGGCGCGCACACTACCATCTGTGTCTCTCTCTCTCTCTCTCTCTTGATATCTTGCTCGCTGACTGTGGTGAAGGGAGCTGCACTGCACGCAGCCCCCTGCCTGAGGCACGCAACTGCCAGGCTGTTTGGCTTGGATTCAGGGTTTCCCTCTGACTCTTTCTTTCTCAGAATGTGACTGGACCGAAAGCCATGTGCACGGAGCCCTAGAACCTGTTGCTGGCAGGCACATTCCGCGAACCAGGCCTCATTTCATTTGAGGCAGTTGGTGGATGTTCACGCCTCGGGGCATGAAAGAGCGGCACAAGCATAAGCGGCTCCGTTATGCGACACATAAGTCCGGAGCCACCGGTATCGGGCCTGAGGCACTCGGCAGACTCCGTGCCAAAACGAAGGACTCAGTTTTGCATGAGTCGTATACCAGCTCTGGCGATGCAGGCTCAAATGCCACAGTCTTCATCTCTCATGCAGCAACCACAAAAGATTCAGGATGATCACGCCGTCAGTTGTTCCAATGCTTTGCGCCCAGCCGCGGGTTTTTGTCGCACACGCAAAACCAAAATTCAGAGCAAGTGTTGCATGGTGCAGTATATGTGTGAAAGCCTGATCGCTGAAAGAAGCAAAAGCCGCACATGCGGAGTCAAAACGATGTCATCCAGCACCAACTCAATGCACAAATCGAACCTTCAGAGGACACGAATGGCCACGAATCCCACAATCCCGACACCAAAAGGGTCAGTGTTTCCTACTCCACGACATTTCGAAACCCAAACCCCATTTCAATGCAGCACAAGTACAACCACACCACTAAGGCGGTCGAACCTTCATCCATCACAGCCATCACAAATCCTAAACCCCAAAGCAACACAGCCCGTGAGGAGTCAAGTCTAGCATCCATTAGCCATGAGTGCAAAACCTCATGCGCTATGAAACCCAAGCCCCAAACCAACACAGCACAGAAGGAGTTCAAGGTTCACAAGCCATGAATCTCAAAACCGGATCTCTGCTCCGGCCCACCTGGATGAATGAATGGATCTCGTCGCATTCTTCCCTGCCGGCTAGGCTGAAGCAATGATGAAGCTCGTCACGGCGGGACAGAAGACCCAAGCCATGCTTTTGCAAACACGAAAATTCGCACTCAAAAGTGAAAAACAAAAGGCACCCCGCCATAAACACGTTACGGCCTCGACTCCATGCAGTCTCCGGTCACATGGGCGCTTCTGTTGCGCTGGTATCGGATGCCTCCTGCAGGGCAGGGCCGTGCGGCCATGCGGAACGGTGCTAGCAATGCAGAACAGTACAGGCTGGCGGCTGGCCGCGATCGCTGCGGCCTGGCGGAGCGGCTTCACGCAGGTGCTGAGCAAGAGCAGGCTCGCATCGCCTGCAAGAAACACGCCAGCGCCTAGGGCTTATAGGACCTATAAGGGTGCCCTATAGCAGTCAGTCCCTTTAGCTCTCGCTACAAGTAGCGAGGAAGCCTTCGAAGAGCAGCCTGGTTTCTGCGTGACGCACCCAAGCGATGCCCAAGTCCTGCGCAGACTCTTCAGCTCCCATCTCTCAAGCATTTTTGTCGTGCCCGGCCCAGTCCCATGTCCTTGCTGGTTCTGACGATGCAGCCTTCTTTCGCACCGACAGCATGGGCCGGCAGCGCTCTATCTGCCACAGCCCTGGATGCCACAACGCGGGCACAGAGAGGAAGAGGATCACATGGCCGAGTGGCCGAGCAGTGGCCGAGCAGTGTCCGAGCGCCGAGCCGGTCCTCGGTCTGCAAGGCCAGGTGCGGCGCCTGGGCCCGGGCCCCCCCCCGCTCAGCGCGGCCCCGCCGCCGGGGGCGCAGAACCTCGCGTCAGTGCTCGTGCTGAAAGGACGCATCGGCGACAACACGGCACAGCGGCACACCCGGCGGCATTCGGCAAGGGAGGCAGCGTAGAGCCTCGGCTTTCGGCAGGAAAAAAAAGATGTCTCGCGCCAAGCCTAAGCCGGCCGCCTCGCGTGGGCCTGTGCAGATCCGAAGAATTTCCCAGCTGGCGGGTGAAGTAGTAGCCTATCCTCAGAAACAAGTTAAACTGTCTGTGCTGCTCTCATTGCTCGCATTTAAAGGCTCGGGCGGCACAAAAGGCTCGCAGCGGCAGCCTCCTGGCGTCCCAGCGCACCAGGTCGATGCGGGCACGCCTGTACCCCGCAGTCTCCAAGCTCGCAGAGGAAGAGAGTCAGAGAGTGCTGGAGCAGAGGCTGGGCTGTGGCATTGAAGCCGCCCGGTGCATGTCCAGCTGAGTTTTCCCACACAGCGCACGTGTGGTCTGACACTTCCTAGTGCTGTCGCGACCACAGGACTTCCCACCTTTCCAAGACGCGTTCCCTTGTCAAGTCTGGTGGACAAGGCTAAGTAGGAAGGAAGCACTCGTGGGCATCTGACGCGGGAGGGCTTTGCCCTCATGCTAGGCGGTGGATGAGGTGGGCACCCCTCTGCGATATCACAATGTCGCTGATGGCTCCGACCTCGCTCGGTCAAGGCCCGACAAGGCTGGTGGCAGAAAAACGATACCAAGACACAGGGCAAATGCCTCTCTTCCCGGTCCCCCCGGTCCCCACTGTCGTTTGCCGAGGCACCGGGAGGTCGAAGGCCGCGGCTTCGAAGTCTTTGTCGGACTGGCCGGGCACGATCCAACCCAGGTCGGCCATGTGGCCGTTGTTGGCGGAGTTGCAGTCCGAGTGCGCCTGGAACACGCACACGCACATGCTGCACAAAGGGCTGCGACTGGTTTCGCCGGTTTCGCACTCCGTGCCTTGCACAGCCTCGGATGGGAGGCTTGGGCAAGCTGGCTGTCGTACTCACAGCTACCCAGCTCACCAACGAAGCCAAGCCGCTCAGCGAACTTGGCCGAGAGCTTCTTGCCTTGGGAGACGTCACGCGAGATGTTGTCTGCGGTTCTACGGAGACCTCCCGCGGTCACTGAGCTTTCTGCCTTCAGCTGGCGTACCGTGCGGCATGGCGTTCAGGACCTGAAGGAACGAATGGCCGCAGTCGGGGGGTCGGCTCCCGGTCCCGAGCGGCCCTGTCTCGCCTGAAGCAGCTTCAGGAGCTCCTTCTCGGCATCCTCGGACTTTCCGGCTGCTAAAAAGAAAGCTCTTCGATCCGTCTTCGACTTCTGCGGGCGAGCTGCTGCCTGAGTTCGCCCCTTCCGCGCAGCCCGCCGGGCATTGGAATCGTGCGCGGTGAGGGACTCCCACTTCATGAGTATGTGGGCCACGCGAATGCCTGCCAGGAGACCGGAAAGGACCCCTACAGCCGCCGCCGCGCGCATCTGAATCTGCAGCCCAGGACACGGTTCGGCATCCCGCCACCAGGCTGTGGACCGACCACCACCGCGACTTCTTTTTCTGGAGCTTTCCTTGAAGCAGCTCGGACTCCCAGAACTCTTCAAGCGCGCCCGCTCCCGCTCGCTCCCGCTCTTCGAGCCTCTTCTTGGTGTCTGCCTCATTCTCCGCCGGCTGAGGAGGCTCCTCCGGCGCCTTGAGCGAGAAAAAAGCCGTCAATATGCCTGGCCGCAGGCTCACATCGCGTCTCCAGGGGAAGGTTTGGAGTCTGCGATGCCTAGCGCTGGGCTCTCAGCCCCCTCTTTGGAGGAACCTGTCAGGGGCGCCTCCCTCTTCACGCAGGAATGCAGTCCATGCAGGCTACAGGGCCTGGCTTGTGACAAGCAGCAGCCAGCTGTGTCGCCACAGCCTTCGGCCGCCCCTGCAAACTTCACCGAATAGGGCGAGCCCGAGCCACAGCGTTAAACGAATCTTGAGGCTGGAAAGCTTCAAAGAAGCACCTGCCAACCAACACGATAGCAGCAGATAGCATCAGCTTCAGTCACAAGGCCTTCTGCGTTTGGTCTGGCATCATGAGCAAAATCACCGGTTTCACGGGACCCTCGCCACTACTTACGGCGACATTTACGGCAGTCTGAAAGCGACCCCAACAAAGCGAAGTCGAAATTATAGTTGGTCTCCCTCCTTCCTTGCCTGGTGCTCGGCCACAGCCTCAGAAATCTGCGCAGCCGTGAGGTCGTTGGCCCCATCAGTCAGGAGCAGCATGCAGCAGGAGCTACCTCAAAAGTGTGGCAACTCTGCAGAAGTCTCACTGAAAACAGAGTGAGTGCTACATTCAGAACACTCTCACAGGCGAGACTCCGGGCTCTATCCGGAAGATCTCCGCGCTAAACTCAAGGCCAACCAGCCTCAGTCAGAGAAGGCGGGATACGCCTTCAAGCCCCCGAAGTGGACGAAAAAACTGATATGCGGGCCCCCTAGTTCCTTGCCTGCGGGGTCGCTTCAGGTCTCGAAGACCCAGCGCGGACGACACCTCCACGCCTGAGAGCCAGGTCCGGGCACCGGAAAATATATCGCGTCGCCAAGACTCCCCAAGCAAGCACCTCAAAAAGGCCGTATTTTAGCCTCTATAGCCCTTAGCGATAGTTGTTGGTTGTCATCCTTCACAGACCCCACACTGCGCCTCGAGAGCTGGGCGGAGGCGTCCACAGCGGCGTGGCCGGCCGCGCTGCGGCATCCATGACTTCCCGCAAGATCTCCCAACCTGAGCTTTTTTTTTTGCAGCTGGGCCTTTCGTTCCCGCGTGCGCTGTACGCTGGTAAGCTGCTTAAGCTTGTAAGCTTTCCTAAACCCTCAAGCCTCTAAACATTGTCTGACGGTGTTCGACTCGACAAAACCCCACGAGGCCTCTGGACCTTACACCGCTGAGACATGTCTGACATTTGCAATCCTCCAGCCTTCGAACTTGCAGAGCTCAAGAAACCGTTTCCGTTTTCCACTGACTCCCTGAACCTCATAAACGCTGAAAGCCCCTGTAAACCCGATCTTTTGACCCGAAAGCCTAAACCAGCCACCAGAGCACAAAGCCTAGACCCTAGAACCCCGCCCTCAAGACCAGAGCGCCATTGCCTCAACGCTTCAAACTTCTAAACGCTACAGTACAACCCCGGCGAGAACCCCACCAACCCGCCCCCCCCCTTTTTCTGTTTTGGGCACAAGTAAAAGAGTGTGAGTCGGCCTGGCCTCGCGAGGCGTCCTGCGGGCAGAAGGAGGACAGGCCGCTGAGCACGGCCTGGTAGCGCACCTGGACGGCGCCGTTTGCCACGGCCTGGCACAAGAGCTCTGCTTCGGGGCTGGCCTTCGCTCTCTTTGAGGGCCCAGAGCTTTCAGGGTTTGGAGTGCGGCTGTCGGATTGGTTCGGGTGAGACCACCACACAGGGCACCCCCATGCACCTGAGTGTCTCCATGCAGCAGGAGTCGAAATCGCTAGCAACTCGACGCTCTGAACAAACGGATTGCCGGCACCCTGCAGAACCCTCTGTCGACATCGACACTGTCTGTGGAAATACCACGAAGCCACCGAATGATGGGCCGATGGACAGCTGGCATCAGGCTCTGTTCGTATGTTTCTGCGGTCAGCCCTGAAATACTTCAGGAAAAAATCAGTCATCTGTGATTTGTGGCAGTGTTCTCTGTCTCCGTCTAATGTGTTTCGGTCTCAGTGCTCACACTCGCACACTCAGCATGTGCGAAGCGGTGGAATTTGAAGGCTTGCCAGGTTACTAGGAATGCGGGCATCTACTCAATTCGGCATCTGTTAAATGATATATCGTGGGCACGTAAAGAGTGGAAGTTGGTGGTGAGTGTGAGGGTCTGCAGATCAAATCTTGCGGCAGCAGGCTGAGGGGCGTAAGGGACTGGTGGCCGGTTGTGGGGCGAATTGAGCAGCGGCCCCGGCACCTTGCATCCCCCAAATCCTTTGAGAGCCGGCAGGACTGGCAGGAAGACTCTGCGGCGATCCTGCTGCTGCTCTTCCTTTCTTGATGGGGACTGCCAGCATGAGTAGCCTTCCTCCAGTCGCCTCCTCTTCCACGCAGGGGAGTCTGCGGATCGATAATTTCTACTTGGTAGCACCGTGAGGAAAGCCTTCGATAGTTCGGAGCCCAAGGAAGCTTGCACGGATGCTGCAGGGATACAAACTTTACGGTGCAGCGCAGTATCATGATGTTTCGCATGTCGCTCGACCCGGCCCTTGCGCCTCGCCGCAGCCGGGCGCCAGCGCCAGAAGCGCCGCAGCACGCTGCTGGCTGACGATGCCACCTTCCTCGTCCATGATGTAGAAAAGCTCTGCCAGCCTCGAAGTGCTGATGGAAGCTTAGGTCTTCCGTCGTTTGCTTCCTATGGCAAGTAGCTGCTGTGCGCCGAAGATGTCCTGCGCCAGCATCCTGTCAATCGCCTCTCCAGCTGCCTCAGTCGAGACGTTACCGCGTCTGGCTTAAAAGGGAAGTGAGGGGCGTGAACATCGCGAGTGCCTTCACGCGACTTCGAGCAGATTCCGTCTTCAGATCGCCCTTGCCAGGCCCCAGCAGGGTTTCAAAGGCCTGTTTCACATCACGAGGCTGCACGACGTCACAACCAGGGCTGCAGCGAAAACATCCTTCGCTTTGCCTCCACGGCCTTTTTCCCGGCACCGGCAGCGACCGCCTCCGCCAAGCTGAGGCCCAGAGCCGCATAGGGATGGGCAGCGCGCAGAGCCTCGAGGAACCGATCTGCATGCTCGGCTGTCGGCTGTCAAGAACGCTTCGGAGCACCGCACCCTTCGCACGGCTCGGTCTCGATCGGAAGGCTCCTTTGCCAGCATCTCCTTCCAAATTGCGGAGATTCGCAAGGTGAGAGAACAGGGTGCCCCAAGGCCCGTGGCACCTGGCTCGCCGAGGCCGCTTGAAGCTCATCTCCCGGTCGCCCCTCAAAATCGAGGGGACCGTAGGCCTCTGGAATCGTAGTTCTTCGTTGGCTGCTTGTCGCTTCTTGAGGGGTTCTGAAATCGATGCTTGACTCCTAGTGTGCAAGCCCTGACGCCGTTGCCTCAGCTCTCCGGCGTCGCTGGGACCTCAACAGCCGGGACGAGCTTGTATGAAGCCTTGTTTTTTCTGCTGCATCCACGGTCAAGCCCAGGCACGCCGTAACTTCTAATCTCGTGTGGCCAGGTAAGCCACCTGATGCGGCGGCAAGAGCAGGAAAGCAGGTACCCTTGACATCGCTAAGCTCCCCAACACGGCCTTCCACAGCGCGGCAGCTCCACACGCTGCGAGTAGCCACGCCCTTCTTAGCCACCGGCTCCTCCGGTGGAGCCGGAGGTGAGCAGACCACGGCACGGCAGCCGCCTTGTTAGCAACAACGGAATGCGACCTCATAAGAAGCAGCTAGCAAAAGACAGCATCCAGGAGAGACAGTCATCGGAGCGAGTCCAACAGCATGACCTCGTACTGGTGATACATATAGCACTCTACAAAGCGGGAGAACGAGTGCGTACCAGGAAGTGTCAGCTGAGCTTCCTTCCCACACCTTCCCCTTCCCAAAGATTTCTCAGGCCCACAAGCAGCATCACAATGGTGGTATACACAATGACAATGAACAACAAGAGCAGTCACAACAGTAGTGAAGCAATGCAAAACTTATTGTAAGCGAAGGAACAGCTGGCGAACCCTCAATAATCCTCACTGACTATACCGCCAAAGATTGTCATCACAACCGCAAGAACTCGGACAGGGCCGGATGTCAGCCGGAGCTTTCGCCTCTTCTAAGGCCCTGGCCCATGCTGCAAATGATCAGCCGCCTGCCTAAAAGCAAGGCCAGCGCCAAGCAGCACCCGGCGTAGCGAGCAGGGCTCCCCTTAGACGCCACAGGAAAAACACAAACCTTTCTCCTTTCGCCTTCGGAAGGCTTAGGTCCAGTTTGGAGGCGTTGGCTTGGGACTTTCTTTGGAACATGGCACAGCACTTTTGTCATTATAGCGCAACAGCAAAAGAAGAGTCTGCAGCTCGCTGCAGCCCTGATTCCAGAAGCGCGTGGTCCAGGTGCTCCAGGGCCTTCCGCGGCAGAATGTTTGGAGCCCTGAGCCCTGCTACCGGTAACACCGTGTTCGCGGTTTGCGCAACTGCTTCGGGCTCACCCTGCCGCCCACGCCCATCCCCGCCCTGCGCTTTGGGGCCTCTCTCACCACGGCAACCAGCTCACTGTCTTCGGGCTCTGAATGGTATGCCTGGGCGACCCGAAGGACAAAAAAGCCTCTGTGCCAAACCGTCACCACGTCACGGCTTGTCGCGGAAGCCAGCTGTTGTCATGCTGAGGCCGGGATCAGCTAGTCAGCTACGGGGGCATGAACAGAGCAAGCCGAACGCCATGGGAAGCTCAACACGCGCCATGTCGCTTGGAGCTGCCTTCTGCCGATAGCAACAGCGGCAGTCGGCAGTTTCAGGCCGAGTTGCTGAGAGGCGCGGCAGCAGATGCGTGTGAAGCCTCTTCGCACACCACTCCGCTGCAAGGTTCGACTGCCGTAGTCCGTCAACCAGGAGGAAGAGCGCTGCAGGCTTGTCCATAAAAGGCAGCGGCCTGAGCACCGGAAAGCGCGAACTTCTTGCACTGGAGCAGGGATCTTGGCCGAGATTGCTCCGAGACACTGCTTCAGCAGGGAGGCTGTGCGAGACAGTTCAGGCAGAACGACCGCCATATCGTCCTTGCGCCCACTCGAAGTGGGCAGGCACACGGATCCGTGAGCCATCTTCATGGAATGCTCCTTGGCGCATTGTCGCAGATCCCCGCACCAAGTCCAGAACCGTGCGAGAAGACCCTAGGAAAGCCACAGCAAGTCCTCAACACCTCAACGAAGAGCAAACCCTCCTCTACATGCCCATAAGGGCCTCGGATGAGTGCGGGATGCCCGTCTGAATCCATCGGCTCTTGGCTGGCACGTAGGTGACCTCCGTCGAGCGGTTCCGGTAGTACTTACCTGCAGCCGATTCTTCGTCCGCCGATCGCTCCATGCGACAGCTCATGCAACGCACATCTATACATCTACCATCGTTACTTGCGCATGGGTGTGCATGTGCTTGCTCGCATATCTTACACATGTGTCAATGTGCTCACATGTAAGCTGCCATGGAAGATGCTGCGAGGTCCATTTGTGAATAATGTACCGTAATGTAACGTAAAGGGACGCCATATAGTACTGGATATACTGAATGTACTGTATGCCGAATGCGTTGCGGATGTTGTATGCCCACTCAGCAAAGGTACAACTTACTCGCACGATACCTGTACCGCAGCCGCTGCGACCCTCTCAGCACGAGCCTAACAGTGAGAGGAAAAATGCCAGAAGAGCTGTGTGTTATGCAAGCCAAACATGAGGAACATCAAGAGACGGGACTCACGCGAAAGCGCGAAACAGCAAAGTGAGGAATGATGCTGTCACCCTCGCAGGGGACTCGGGAGGGTGCCTCAGCATCGCCCCGCCGGACCCGAGCCAAATTCTCTGCCAGGATCGAGGGATGCACGCATGTTTGTGCAAGTGCGTGCACGATCGTCTAGCATGCGCAGCTAGGCAGTGTATTGTGCGAGTATTGCATGAAATGTTCTTTCCGGGAAGAAATTACGTGGGAGCTCTGTAACAGACGAAAGGAAGCAAAGAGCTGTTGAGACCAAGCAGCCGGTAAACGCATTGAAGAACAGGAATGGAACCTCGCAGCTCTCAAGCATGCGAGGACAGTAAGTATCTCAACAACTATGACTGCCAGCGGATCGTGATCAAAAAAGGGTGCTGGCTATTTGCATCACAGCACTGGAAAGTATCAGTAGGAGTTGGAGAGTCAACAGTTCCTGGGACGCCGGCATGTTTGCCCTCCGAGTTCTGTCGTTCATGCCTGCGGGAGACTGCGGCACGTGCTTCCGGCAAAAGCCGGCACTGGAAGTTAAACAGGGTGCATATACATCACAATGTATACATATATATATGTATATATATACACATGCACATAGATAGATAGTATGTGTATATGAATATAAACAAATAGCTATGCAGTGCGTCTTCCGCTTTGCAGGTCAGCTGCATGTACCAAATGCCCGGCTGGCGAGGCACCGGTGTCTGAGCCTGGCCGCAATGTAACAGAGTTTTGCTGAACACAGGGCCCTGTTTTTGCTGCTATCCAAAAAATGCCCCTAGAGCGTCTGGCCAGTGCCTGTACTGCAGCCCAGGAGGGACCGACGGGGGCAAAGTTCTCCTCGTAATCTCTCCTGCCGCCAGGCTACTGAAGGTGCAGGACTCTCTGGCGCAAGGATGATCCCGGCCTCTTGTTGTTTGCCTGAAACCACTCTGCAGTGGACTCGAAGGTCTCTTTCTTCGACTGTTGGGCCGCAATAAACTCTGGCACGAGGCTTTCGGACGTCTCCAGGATGTCCTCCCCTGCCAGCTCCTCGAAGACTCTCAAAAAAAATCCAGACGGAAATCCGAGCTCCTCATGGCTCCTGGACAGTCCACTGCTTGCTTTCCAGGAAGTAACACCGTCTCCATATCTGGGCAAGACGAGGCTGCACGCGGGCCCCAGAGTATTTACGTCATTACGCCCTCCGGCAGATGCACACAGGCCTCTTGGAGGCTAAAGCGCTTCTCGACGATCCTAAAGGCGAGACGCTTCAAGTCGCCTCGAGTGATCGAGTGCGAGCACCGCAGCTGAACCGACCATTGCTTTCAACAGCATCGCCCCTGCCCCCTCCCCCACCCCCTGCATTCTGCAAGTTCCCACCAAGCGACATCCGTCTTTCCGCGCTTCCTCGGCCGTGGCGCGCCGAGGGCCCAGCACCCGCACCTCCTGGAGCAGAGAGCGTCAGAGCATCAGACTCTCAGTTCCAAGAGCTCCGAGGGCTCCTTGAGGTACTCGTCTGGGCGCAGCACGTAGACCTCGTCCAGACCGAAGTAGAGTCTGGATTCTGTGGCTCTGAAGCTAAGACAGGGGCGGAGAGGTCGGCGCGAAAGCTGGGACCGATCCTGACAGGTTCCGGTGAACCAAGCTGCTCTTAGTCTCAGCTCTCGTAAGCTCTCGAGTCTCGAGACTCTGGGAACCCCCCCAAAACCCTGCTCAAACCCTACATCACTCTTCGTGAACTCCGATCCCAGCCGAGCGTCGAGTCCACTGAGACCACGAAGTCCGGTGGAGGGATGCCCTCCGCCGGCCACCTTAGTGCTCAGTCTGTGAACCCCAGAGGCACCGCTGGAAGCCATGAATTAGAATATGATCCTTTAAAGGTCCGAGAAGAAACCATCTGGGCTTCACTCTTTGCTGCAATTCTTGGCCCCACAAAAGAGTAAGACCGACCAGACCACGGGCACAGCTTGAAGAACAAAGCAGAACACGAAGCCTAAGCAGCCGACATCATCCCGGAGAACCGCCGCGCTGCGGCCTCCTTTAGGTCTGCCTTTCGAAGAATTCTGTCTATCCCTACTTTACCTCATGACACTTCGCACATAGAACTTACCATGATGAAATGTAAGAACAAGCAGAATGGACTAACAATGGCATAGAAGCGATGCTTACATGAAGCCTCCCCTTCTGCCTCGTAGACCTCCTTCTCCTTGTCACCGGACTCAGGAGAGCTAAACATGCCGATGAGGCTCGCGGCACCTCAACACACCCATGGAGCACCCATGGACTGATTTCTGCACACTCTTGACGCGTGCACCTCGATTGCCGAGAACCTGTTTGGAGGTGTAGGTCTTCCATGCTCCTCCACCCTCACGGGTCCTCGGTCTGTGTTCTCTGGACTGCCCTCACGGGGAATCTTCCCGGGACCCGGGCGACATGGTCAGGAGATGGCAATCAATTTACTACACATCTTTGCTTCAGGGCCAAATGCAGCTTTAAGGCTGCGGGTGTGCACGCTCGAAGAGCGCTTACTATTAACAAAGGCTAAGAGACCAACACGAGAGAGTTGCAGCCAGATGCATTTGTCCATGTCACTACCCTGTGGCCTGGACTGCGGCAGCAAGGAACGGTTCCAGCCTCGAGAGATTTTGGCTCCTTGCATTGCAACGAGGCCTGGCCGGCCTGACGTGGCCATGGCCGCTTCCGAAATGTCTCCACAGAGGCAGAACCTTTCCGCGCTGCACTCCATGCGCTTGACGCTGAATTCCTCCACTGAGTTCCTGGAAAGGCCGTGGCAGCAGCTTCCCAAACTCGGAGCCAGTAGCCACCTGGTCAGAAGCCCAAAAAGACCGGACCTCCGATACACTTTCTACTCCGAGGACACGAAGCCTCAACAGGTGCGAGGGAACCACACATGGGATCCACCAACAGCTGTCCAGGTACCGATGCCTTCGCAAGAGATATTGCCCAAAGGCCGTCTTCTGCATCCGATTGAAAGCGCTGGAAGAATCGACGTGCACCAGCACCGGTCAAGAGAAGTCCTCGCCCATGCATCGTGCCAGGGCCGCGTAGCATAGACCTCTGGTGAGGCTCACAAGCCACCATCCTCTGGGATGCGTACGACAGCAAGGAATCCCCTTGCAGGATTTGGGGGCGAAAGGGTGCATGGAGAAAGCGTTTACAGAGGCCGTTGAGGGCCTGCACTATGTCTCCTCTGTATGGAAAAACATGGTGTCTACTCATACCGGGACCCGGGCTCGGCTTGAGCTCGGCCTGGTCGTCGGTGTCGCAACGCAGAAAAGGGGGGGGGACGGGACTTTTTGTGGGCATGGAAGTAAGGCTGCAGCCAAGCCGGCCCGTCGTTCCGGAGCCAGCAAGCGAGTAGCAAAACCTGCCCCAAAGGAAGCACGCGCCGGGTGTCCCGAAGGGCTGTATCCTTTGGAACTTCGAGTGCACCAACCGAATCTGAACAGCGACATTTCGACGAAAGGCTGAGGTTGCTCCTGGGCCGAGTTTTCGGGGGCGATGCACATTCCAGGCAAAACCCTCAGAGTCGGCTCTGGGAGGCCTTGGCGACCCGCTAAGCTCAAGCCCAGGAGGACCTCTGCGGGCTGGAGCCAGAGCACCAGCTCCTGACAGAAACCCGCAGCTACGAACGGACAAACGGCGGAGTTCGGCTCCGAGAGAGAGGAAGCTCAAAGGCTGGAAAGCTCGCTCCAGTTGGAAGTTCTGCAGCTCAGGCCGCCAACCTGGGCCAACCGGTTCGGGCTCCCCCAAAAGGCTCGAGCGCCATCTTGGCCCCATGCCGATACTGGCCTCGATGCCTGCAGCCAGGGCAGCAGCGGCGGCATCAGAGCCTGTCGCAGGAAAAGCAGGAGCAGAGGCTTCAGAAACGCAAAGAGGTGGTGGGAGCAAGTGACGCCATGACGTCCATACACAATGTTCCCGGCGGACCGAACCTACTGTGAAATACCAGCCCCGATGCCTTTCCGACAATCAACGCAGACCATCTACGGAATCCATTGGTAATGTGGGAAGTTAGCACCTCTTTCGTGGTCAGGCAGGCCCAAAGCCATGCAAAACCCTAGCAATCAGTGTGCCTATGATGCGGGGCCCGCTCCGTCGGCAGGTCACCCGAAAGGTCCACGGGGCGGCCTGCGAGGGACAAAAGGATCAAGCTTCGATCGAAATTTGAGACTCCTATCCGCCTCAGACTGCTCAGTGCCCAAACAGAACCTGTTGCAGGAGGGTCCAGGGCATTTCATGGGATGGCACGCAAGCACGACATCCCGCCGTTTTCATCGCCTCGCGGCGCGCAGCAGGGAGGCTGCCAGAGCTGGGTGGGAGGCCAGCTGTCGGAGCTTGGCGTCAACTCGGCGCTTCGGAGCTTCGGACTGAGTGGCTGCATGCTGTGACAGCAGATGGAGAACCGTGGCAGTTCTTTGCAAACTTCGAGCTGCGGCTCCGCAGCTCCGACTCAGCATGTCCCAGTTGTCCCAGTCTCGGCTCAGAACACCCGGCGCGGAGCCCCGACACACGAGCGACCTGGCGAAGGTAAGTGCAAGCAGCGGTCTCCACGATGTTGCGAAGATACAACTGACCACACGAAAGAGGCCCGGGGGCATCTTTTGCCTAAACCACAGTTGTTAGACTCTAGAATTCAAGTAAGTATTCAGAATATCTAGCAGTCCTGGGGGATGTAAACCGAAGCAAGCATCTTGCTTGAAATGCTCATGCACAGCTTCCCTGAGGTGCATTGCAGACCACCGAAACATGTTGATAAGAATGTCCATCTTGGCATCCAGAACAAGTGCGAACCTTTGATCGCATATCTCGCATCACGTTTAACTCCCATACCCCTGTACAAGTTTGCAGCTTCATGAAGGGCAGCAGCGCGTCAAAACTTGTCGTGGCACTTCACAAATCGCTGAGATCATGCGCACAGGTGGCAGCACTGAGGTCGCTGCCTTCAAGCTTGCTAAGTGTAAAGGATCACAAGGTTACACATGGGTGTGCGCCGCACACGATATACAGCACTGCGTACACTGCACAGCCTAACAACTAATGACCTCATCGTCGGCACCCTGAATCTGTGCCTTGTGTTATTCAAACTCAACAGGGGGATGAATCGGCCAAAAACCGCACGATTCCCAGCTGGCTGGAGAGGAACATGTCCAACTGCCCCTGCCTCACAACTCCCTTTCGAGTGCAGTCCCACAAACTCCAGCGGTGCCAGCGCTGCCATCATCGCCTCCAACTGTGTGGGTTGCACGAGTTGCTAGCAAGCGAGTGAAGATGAGCGTCTGGTAATTCCCAAACTGTTTGAAGTAGTACATCTCACCGCCCGCCCGGATGGCTATACCGAATCGCTATGTGGGCAGAGTTCGCCCTGAGCTTGCGCTCGTTGGTGTAACCTGCGATGGCCGTCAGGTCTCTCCCAAAGAGTGATGCAAGCGTCGTCTCACCACCACATCGCCGAGTCCCCGGTCCGAAGCCCTCAGGTCGCAGGTCGTTGCAGGTCGTTGCAGGTCGCCCAAGCTCAAGACGGGCTTGCGGCCTGCGCTGGCTGCTGAACCTTGCCGCACGACTGACAGAGTGCCACCTTCAACCACCTTCACTGGTTGTGACTGGGTGGAGAGGCAGTTGATTCGCGATATGACAAAAGACTAGTGTGACCATGCATCTGCGAAAACGGACGGAACGGGCGGGCAAGGACTGAGGGTTTTGAGCAAAGGCTCAGGGCTGCAAGCCAGAAGCGCATCATTGCCTAGTCTTGCCGCTGTTGCGGCCAGTCATGTGCTGCTAGTGGGACCGATTGCTGCTGCTGCTGCTGCCACCACCACCACTAACCACTACGACTGCTACTTTGACCCGGAGACAAAACTTGCCCTCACTTGTAGTCATCCAAGCCACGAGCTTCCAACACCCTCATGGTCGTGAACAAAACATCAAACCCAAAAGCTGCGGCCAGTTGCAGGGCGCCTGCACATAAATCCGATCAGCAGCGAGCAGCTTTTCCAGTCGAGCTTTCAGGTCCTGCGTTCGAGCTGTCAACTCGGCTTTCAATACAAACTCGATCCAAAGAGAGACACAGCGAGACAGAGACAGAGAGACAGACATTTGGGGGGAGAGAGTACAGAGGGAGATGAGAGAGAGCAAGAGCACAAAGAAAACCACCGGGATCCACCGGGTGTAAGACGATCTGTGCGTCTTGCAGCTGCGCACCGCAAAGGCAGATGCGGCCACTGCCCTTCTTCTCCTCGACTGTCAACTCTGGAATTTTGCGACCTCGTTGACGGCACTTCTGGTCAGCATGGTAGTGGCAGTAATCGTCGACGCAGCGTGACAGCAGCAGTAGCAGCAGCACCAGCAGCTGTAAGCAGCATCAGCCACATCATCAGCAGCAGCAGCATCAGCATGAAAATGCGATTACGTGGTATTAGTCGTGGCAGGATGTCCTGGTGGATGCTTCGGAATGGACGAAACCTTGCAATGGATATGCGGCAAGCAATCTGGGATGGCTGTGCCATGCTGTGCCTGTATGCTACAAGCTAGGGGCTGGCAGATCATTGCATGCGAGGAGGACTCGAAATTGGCCCAGAATGATGGCATCGTATCCCGGGTTCATTCTGCAGTCTGGGAAACTGAACGGGCAAACCCAAGCAGACAAGTCGAAGTTACCGCCTCCCTGTAACGACCACCGGGCAGGGTAAGCTGCTAGCTTCCAAACGACCCTTACCTGTTGCTTCAGAAGCGTGTGGCCAGTCGGCACAGCTTGCTCGAAAGAGGATAATGCAGAATGCAGGACTTGCACGAGCAGGCGCTCTTCGCGCGGCTGACGAGCACTTTACAGCTACACACGTGCAGCTGAATGCTTTGTCGTCGTCGTAGCCGGTCCGGCGCCGTCACAGAGGCAGGAGCAGAAACAGTAGGACTAGGACAAGTAGTTGCGGTGGTGCTGGTGCTGGTGGTGGAGTCAGGAACAGCAGCAATTCACGTCGCCTTTTCGATGCCCAACCCTGTGAGGGGATGCCGAGGCCACAGCGGGCTTCGTCAGCTACGACGTCCTCCGAACCCATCCCCGCAGGGCCATCATCCCATCAAGATGAGTTGACATGGCTCTGGGCCCTCTCCGAGCCTCCAGGCCAGGCGACCTCGGCGGTCGGGCTGAATAAAAGGATGGACTGCGGTCCTCTTTTGCCATATGAGCCGGGAGGCGTCGTAGCCCAAAACGCCAGCCTTCCGCAAAATGATGGGCTGCTAGACAGCTGACACTTTTCGCGAGCTCTTCCGAACAAACTCGCTGCACCTGTCTTCAACAACCTGCACTTGCAGAGCCTGCGCAGGTCAGCACTGATATTTTCTCGAGGCTCCAGCATCTTGCAATCGACGAGTGGAGCCTCTCCCGCAGCCGCGCTGCAGTCGATCTGAATGCTTTCAGTGCTTTCCTGCGACTTCGGACAGCAGGCACAGATTCAAGCAGACGCCACCACGCTGGCTGGCGCTCCTCTTGCCGGCCACGGCGCTTCAGCTTCTTGGGCCGCAGGACTGCAGTGCCCTCCTGCCGGGAGCCACCAGCTTGTAACCTCACGATTCGCGCCGCTGTCGCTGAGTCCTGGCGATCGCCTTCCGGCAAGGCGGCGCGAGTTGAACCGCTCGCGCCGTGGCTCGCGCCGTGGCTCGCTGCCTTTCCCACATACACGTGCCTCAAGAACCAGGCGGCGCCAGCGCTGCAAGAGCCCTCTACAGCCGTAGGGGCCCGGGCCCCCGGCTTGAAGAGCAGCCGCGTGTCCCCGGGCCTCCCGGCTTCGCTCCCATCCTGGCGCAGGGACAAGCAGAGCACCCCCCCCAGTGCCAGCGCATCGCCCTTACGTCGACAAAACCGGCGGCGGCGCGCCCAGAAGGTGGAGGCCCAGAGAGGACTTCGAGCGCGGGCAGAGCCTTTTGCCAAGTCGCAGCTTGAAAAAACGGGCCATGGCTCAGCCATGGGCAGAGCACCCAGGTGGAAGTGGGCGGTGCTGGAGAAATACCTTCACAGCCATCCCCCGCCCCCCCCTTCTTGTGGAGAAAGGCAGCTCGCAAGGACTCCGGCGTGGCGCACCGCTGTGGAGGCGCGCAGCCAAAGCTCTGAAGGGGGCGAAGCCGTGGAGGAAAGAATGCGTGGGCCCTTTAAACGGTCGTTGCCGTTAGGTCCTTGGGTTGTTTTCGCCACCTCCGCCAGGAACTCGGAAAGCCCCAAGCGCCTCGGAGTCTCGGAGCCGAGAGGAGGCGGAGGCGCTGCAGCTCGCCGCGCCGCCGTGTCGGGGAGCACGACGAGGCGATGCTCTCGACACTCCGTCCTCGGCGCACCGCCGCACGAAAGCACGGCTTAGAAATAATTATCCCCGAAAGGAGAGCAAAGGAAGGCCCTCCGAGGCATCTGCGAGCCGCTGGCGGCTTCCCGTGGCAGCAGGGCCAGAAAGGCCACGGGCTCGTCCTTGGCACTCCGGCTTTCGGACTCGGGTCCTAGGTCCTCGCTGCGAGTCGCGCTCTCTGCAGCGAAGGCTCTCCCCAATGCACTTCGGCGCAGCTGGCGGCCGGGCTGAGCTGGGAGCTCAGGTAGTGGTGCCGGGCCTCCCCAAGCAACACAAGGCCCAAGGCCGACGACGGCAAAGCGGAGGCTTCCGGGATCCCTGGCAAAGCGCCGCCAAGCCCTGGCTCCATCGGCATCCAGCAGGGACACCCTCAGCTTCAGCATGGGCTGCCCGAAGCTCTTTCGCACCTCCAGGCAGGATCGCACCGGGGGCCCATGGCCAGAAGAGGTCGGGAAAGACATGGAACAGGGCAGGAGCAAAGAGCAGGAGGCAGGCAAAGCGGGGAGGAGGAAGCAGTGCCCTTTTCTCTATGCAGGTTCTCAGAGCCGCACAAAGTCCATTAGCTACCCAAGACCTCGCGCGTTTTTGCACGTGTCATTCATAATTATCCAGTGAACATGCGCCCGGCTATGCCAGGGCCTACTCCTGCCGTTAAATGGATGCACAACAGCAGGAAGAAACCCCAAATGCCGGCAGCTCATGTTCGAGTAGCACTGGCACTGACGACGTAGTCGCCGTCCTGTCGAAGCCAACAGAGGAGGCTCAGACCCCCATGTCGTGATGCACAGAGTCCTGTGGCAGCAGTGACGCAGAGCGTTGTCTCCCATCTTCCAAGGCAGCAACCTGAAGCGAAACCGATTGCAGAAGCAAGGCCGAGACGAGACAGCGAGACGCTTCGTCACTCTGAAGGGTCCCGGCTTGGTTGAGGAGCTTGCTCTGCACTTGCTGCGTGAGTCTCTTGTGTTCGAAGAAATCGCCAGAGAGGCCGGTGAGGGCCTGCACTCACTGTCCCAGCCAGGGCCACTTGCACCCGGCCCTTGTTGGCGGCCTCATGAAGCTTGGCGATGTCCTCCTGCACCGCTAGGGCCTTACAAGGCACCAGGGACACCCACGAAAAGCAAGCTTGGTGGAGCAGTCCGCGAAGTTTTAAGGGCAAGAGTCAAGAGAGCACAAACTGCAACCTAGTCTGGACGACAACTCCCCTAAGGACGCCCGGGCTCCAGGCTGTGGCATTGCCCTCGCGTCCTCCAGAATCGACTTGATCCCGGAGTTTGACCATCAAGTGCTCCACCTGCGCTACAGGTCAGAAGCACACCACAGCCCCAACAACCGCTGAAATTCGTTGGGAAGGAACGGGTTTTTCAGACTTTGATGCGATGAATGCTTCATTGCAGAAAGTCGCAAGTGTTGCCAGTAGCGAGTAGTTCCCAGCTCGCCCACCAACTGAGTTCCAGTGAGGTCCAATCTCTGCCAACCCCGAGTTTGCTCGAAACAGAACTCGTCGCTCGTTGGGAGCCTCGTTCATTTTGTGCTGCACGGTGTCCTGAGTGGCCTCGCAGATCACTCAAAAAGACTTCAAGACAAAGGGCCAGAGAAATCTGACGACCAGCCTGCACCTGGCGCTTCGACGTGACGATCTCACTGCTCGTGGACTGCAGCTGCCCCTGCCCAGCTCGGAGTTGGGGTTGAGGGATGGGGCATCAGCTCGGGCGGAATTCGCCTGCAGCTGCACCAGGCTGTGTTGGAGCTGCTGGTGCGTCGCGCTGTAGCTTTTCTTCAAAGCCTCGCCGAGGACTCCAGGACTCAGGGAGCTTCTCTTCCGAAGGGCCCCTTTGGAAGAGTCCGCCGTCGGCCTCCAGCTCCGCAGTCTTCATGGACAGCTGCCGCCCCAGCGCGTGAATCTCGCTAAGCAGCTCCTCAAACGCGCAACAGCGTGGCTTCGCTTGAAGCCGTCGCTGCGCGCCGCGCCGCGCGGCCGCGCCTGATCCGTGGCAGCCTTCTGCTTCACCAGCGACGTTATCTCTGTGAACGCGCTCCTCGGCGATGCTTCGCTGCGCTGCACGCTGGTCACGTCGGGTCCGGGAGTCCGGCACATGGGGCTCTACGAGTACCACCCTTCAAGGAGCTCAGCCGAGTCTCGTGAGCTTCTCACGCAGGTCCGTGAGTTGCGACTGCATTTGCTGCTGTACAGAAATGGAATGTCTCTTGTACCTGGAGTGTGTCTCAGGGACAGGGCGAAAAAGTCAGACTCTCACGTTCTCACACCCATCTGGTCCAGGACATGGGGTCAAGTGTGCCCAGGGGATCCGAAGGGAGCACTCGGTGAGGTCTGCGCTGTTCGAGGTGATGCCATCGCGTATCACACTCATTTCAGCCATCATCGCTTGCCTGTGCAGGAAAAACCCACACTCGGCGAAGCTTGCAAGAACTTCTCCATGCAGTCCAGGCACAGACTGCCGTTCGATCGAGCCTTCATTTCCTTATCGCAGCATGTCGTGTGAGTTGGAAGGTCTGGGTGAGCAAAAGTCATGTTCCCGGCACACTGAACCCGCTCCGTGCCCTCCATGCTTTCCTAGGGTCGCTGAGCCATTGGGAGAATGCATTCATGGTTGCATCCACGTCGGCATGGCTGTCGACAGCATGGTGTCCTGGATGTGCGAAATTACTGCCGCAACAAAGAGACACTGAAACAGAAACACCAACCCAAACGGAAAGCCACCTACCGGAGACATTCGAGGGTTGTCACAAGTCGAAGCAAAAGTATTAACAACAAGGACCCTACGCCCTACGCCCGCACTCTCAGCTTCCACAACGGCCTGGGCCACCCAGAACACCGTTGCTGCTGGGGCCCACGATGGCCGCCATGGCACTTTCCCGCTCGGGGCTAAGATGGGCTCCGAGCTGGGCTTCGGCTGCGGATCCGGAAGCAAATCACCAAATGATACATACCTTGCATGCCTGTGTCTATCTGTTTATCTGTCATATATGTATACACGTACATATATATATATATATATATGTGTGTGTATATATATATATATATGTATGTATGTGTGTGTGTGTGCGTTGTCTGTGCGAGTTCGTGTTTCCTCGAAAGAGCAGCGCCCAGCCCGTGCCAAGAAACGCGATTCCGCAAGGTGGGAGAGGCCCGTGCCTGCTCGGCCTCAAAGCGTGGCATCTCGCTGTCGCCCGGTTGCTCGCTTGAAGACTCCTTGACGGAGGGTTGAAAGCCCAGCCTAGGCCCCTAACCCCCGAGGCCCAGAGGCTCCGCCCGGCCTGGCCCATCTCAGGATCCGCCGGGCTCAGCCAAAGCGTAGCAGAGGCGGTGTCCAGCATCCACTGCGGTTTTAGCAAATCCACCACGTCGGGGTGCAAGGTCGCAGCCTGCGTGTTTAGCCAAGCAAATTCCTTGTGCACGCGGCTTTACTGTGCGTCTGGCCACCACACGCTTGAACGACAGTGGCTCCTTTTGCAGAAGCTTTCGCAGGCCTGCAGACGCTGCAGCAACAAGGCTGTGCTACTGCTACAGACCGCCACTTGAGCCAGTCCGAACAAGCTCTCCACCTGCACAGAACCGACGGCGAGATGCAGCATCCTCGGATCAACACAAGACGGGCGCTTCCCTCTCTGCATCACTCTCCTCTGAGTCGGCCACGAGCTGAGAGCCAAGCCTGAGATCACCATCAAAGATGTCGGCTGTTGGCACCAGACAACCAGCCAAGCTGCTCGTCCAAGACCACCGTGCTCCCACCTGAGTTGGCATTGAAGCAAGTCAGATGTGGCTCAAAACACAGCAGCCCGCGGCTGCACTGGGATGATGGCCGTTCCACAGGGAATCCGCGACAGCATACCTTCAACTGACATCGCTCGCTTGCATCTCAACACAGTTCTCCGGCCGACGCAAAAGACTTTAGACACAGTTTCGCAGTCTCACAGCTGTCCAGCTCGCGGTTTCCGGCATCCGTGCGGCCACGCTGCCGGTGGAGCTCACCCGCACTATGCGGTTCCTGCGCAATCTGCATGCAATGACTCTATGTGGAAAAGGACCGAGCCGCGCGTGTGCTCTCTCAAAGCCCGTATAAAAAAGAAACAAATAGACTAAGTGGTGGACAGCTGAGGCTGCAAGCGGATACAAGACTTTCGGGAGCCCTCTGACGCTGCAAGCGGATACAAGACTTTCGGGAGCCCTCTGACGGAGGCCTCCACGAGGCCAAGCGTCTCGCGCACCTCCGGCGGGAGACCTGGCGCTTGGCGTTCTGGAGTGGGCCTTGGCACTGGCCCCGCATGGAGGGGCCTTTGGATCTTGCTCCTGTAGTGTCGGGCTGAAATGTTGCTGCTTTGCAGCCACTCCCTTCAGCAGCTCTGGCTGAAGAGGCAGCATCTTGAAAAAGCCATGGCTCGAAAGCCCTTGCCGCCCAGAGCAGCTGTCACTCGACGGTTGGCAAGTATGCTTTCCTGCAGGCTGGGCTTTGACGAAGAGAGAAAACCGGATTATTCGTATGCTTCATGGCCTGCTGCGGACTTGCTTCATTTCCCAGACTTGCAGAGAAAAGACAAGTTACGGGACATTCATCGTGCCTACCGACATCTCAGCCTCTGCTGAGGGATCGGCTACGTTCCTGCCTTCGACAGGACATCAACAAAGCCTTCGACAGCCCTGCGTTCTTGCGACGGTGGAACGGCACGTTATCCGCTGTGCTGCGAAACTGTCAGATTACACCCCAGGACATGTTCAGGGCCATCTCTGGGCAAAAGACTCGAATTCTAGCAGGGGGCACTCCGGGCTCACCGGCAGTCTTTGCACTTCAATTCGTCCTGGCGCCGACGCAGAACCGAGAGACTTGTTTGCGTTTGGCTTCTCCTCGCCTCCAGCGGCCAGAAGCCAGGGAGGCGCTCACCTGCAGTCTGCAGATGTCTGCAGTTGCAGTCAGGCTCTGCGGCCGTGTGCCGCGGGATCTCTGCCTCGTGGTGGCCCGGACTTGGCCTGATGCGAAAGTGACCGTCGGCAGCAACTCTGCATGTGCTCCCTGACCCTGCGCCTGCAAAGTCGGCAGCGATTGCGCCTTGGGCAGCAGCCGTGCCTGGAGCAGCAGCGAGAAGACATGGACTGACCAACCGGAAAGTATGGACAGCCCTCTTCTACACCGTGCCCTATTCGCTGTCAGAACAGATCGGCATGGTGTGGCAACGCTAGCACTTTCAGCTCCAAAGCGACAACTCCCAATCATTGGTCAATGACGCCATTCTGCAACGTTGCACTGCGCAACCCTCCCTCCAACAGCCTCAACAGACAAGTAACACTCAACCAACCCACCTAAACCCCACGGGCTGGCTCCAGCGTGATATAGGGGCCAAGTTGCAGGAGCTGACAAGCGCCTCACGTCCGCAGGACGGGGCCCCGTCCCGGCCGTGCGTCTCGGTGGGTGGCACTTGTAGCCGTTCACTGCGAAAAGACCTCGGCTCAGCAGCTGCAGAAGGCCTCCTTGCGTTTGGCTCCTGAGATCCTTCCTTTTATTGGGCTTCGTTACTTATACAGGAATTCTAAGGCCTTAAAGCGTTGGAATTTTTGCTGCCTGCCTTACATCGCGACACGAAGTTTGGGGGTTGTCACGGGTTGTCACGGGTTCCAGTGCCTCGCACACAGGATGCATGGACTCGGGCTTCAACCGGGCCTGTTTGGCTCGCCAGACCACTTCGAGTAGCAAGAGGGACAACAAAGCTCGCCAAGCAGCACCGAAGACCACAACCTCAAGCAATCTGTTGGCAGACTGGGCACCAACGTTTGGCTTCACCGTGGAGGCAGTCTTTCCCCCGAGCCAATCCTCGGAGAAGGGCATTCTGCGAACCATGAAGCACTGGTGCTGAGTTCGTTCTCGGGTGGCATTTGGGGATCGTAAGGAGTGTCAGCCTGCGGAGCGGGGCAGTAGCGCGGTGGGGTTGCCTGTCGTGGTGTGCTAAGAAGTTGCGCATGCTACTGCTACTGCAGCTACCTTGCCACACATCTGAGCGCACATCTGTCTGATCCTCGGCGGTCTGAGTGCGCGGATGCCATGTGCCCGCAGGCGGGGTATGATTTCTGCTCTGATGGAACGAACAAGGAACGAAGAAACTGCGCCGCGCAGCAACCCCGAGCTCAAACCACAACCACCTGCCTGAGACGTTCACAGCCCTCGCCTTATTACATTCGAGTAAGTCAAGTCCAAACCAACACTCAACCCTTTCCAACCCCAAGCCGCCATGTTTCTTTTTGTGCGGCCGCGCGTTCGGGCTGCTCGTCGGCTGGAATTTTGCATGTGCTTCGGGTGCATCGTGCCAGAGCGCGCTCTGCAGTGATTCCATGTGAAGCTTCTGCCGAACAAGCGGCATGCAGCCGTCCAATGTTTTTAACTCAATTAAGTTCGCAGCCAGCTCATCTTCAGAAGCCGCATCAAAAGTGTAAGGTCTTTATGGCAAGCCGAACCGTGCCCCGGCCCCGTGCGCAGGTTTTGGTCAATCGAAGCTGTGACACCCAAGTGGATTATCGATCTCAAGCCTCAAGGCCTGTGCTGCACGCAAGACCTCCGTGACTGCTTGCAAGCTGCACCTGTCTGCTTTCAGGATTCTACTCCAACTCATAACACCAAAGTGGATGATCGATTTTATGCTTACGCCATGCAAGTCTGAAAGGGGGGAGCTGCTTGCACATTTAACACAGCACGATGCATGAGCCGAACTGTTTCTCTCCCACTCTATCTATCCTCCCTTCGTCTCCGTTCTGTTTGCTCCCTGGTTGCATTCTATGGCCCGTCTCATTCTGCTGTATCCCACTCCTACCCACATCCCTCTCTGTCGGACTTCCTGCTGTAGAACTTACCATGGCTTTGCAGCCGCAGCCTTTCTGAAATCTGGCACCCATTCGTGTAAGTCCGCGAGTCTTGCTTCTCCCATTCCTCTCGCCAGATTTCTGCGCTTCCACCCACCCTCGACAGGATCTGGACAGACTTGGTGGATTGAGCTTCATCAGGAAAACAACTCCAATCCAAGAGGTAGCAAGACGGAAACGGAAGCCGTCTTCTTGCAAAAGCAGATCCCTTCTCAACGTGGTGAGCGTAGACTTGCAGAGCACTGAGTTCACGGCCGGATCCATGATGATCGTGGAGTTCCGGCCCGTGGAGATGCAGGGGTTGCTTATCCTCCTCAGATGCCGGTGCCCCAACCCAACACAACTCGGGCACGCCAGGGCAAACCGCGCTAATTCTGTCGGCTCCCGCAAAGCATTGTCCTGGACCCTTATGCCGGAGCGGGGTCGGGGTTACAGTGCATCCAAAAGGTGCATACGAGCAAGATCAGATACACACTCGGGAGAGACGCCATTGCGGTTGATGCTCTGGTGACCCTGTGCACCGAGATGTCATCGTGGCTTTGCAATGCTTGTTCTGGCCTTGGCTATGCCCTGACGGATGGATGGGTCAACACGGCGCAAGAGATGTGGAATGAGACAGCGAAACGTGGGAGGGGGGGGCGCTTTACATGGAGGCCACATGGAGCCCCTATGCTTTGCCTAGAGCTCGACAATGTACCCCCGCTCCGGTCTTGCTAGCTCGCGGCGTGACCTCAAAGCCCAAAGCCTCACTCAATTTACAGTCCAGCGGCCGCAGGTTGAAGGACATGACCAGAGGCTGGTACAAGGAACCGCGCTCCCGACTCTGTGCAAATGGCTGCCAGAACGGCAATCTTTACGGAGAGGTGCTAGAAGTAGTCTGCTACAGACAAGAAAGCACTGATCACAAAACAAAAGACTCTCAACGGCAGTACCTTCGAGGAATCATGGTAACACTCACCGATTGCTTCGCCAGCACCCGATGGCTGCCAGCCTTGTGAAGTCGGTACGGAGACGGAGGGTGGGCAGACCTCAAGAATGGCAGACGCCGCAGATTGATCGAGGAGAGGCCTGCGCTTCTTTCTCCGAGCGGCGGAAGCGGCGATCTCCTGAAACTGCTGCAAGACGGTGGTCTTTCCGCTGCCCGAAGGCCCAAAAACGATGCCCAGGCCCGGCAGGTCCTCCTCCTGAGAGCCGGGTTCTGCAAAGCGATGGGGCCGAGGCATGCCGATGCGACCAAGCCGCCAGGAGCCAGCGAGGCAACAACCTCAGCACTCAGCGCTCTGCTCTTCTTTTTTAAGCCTTCGACCATCCCGAGTTCTACCAAGGCTCGGGAGCTGCGAGGACGGCGTCTGCGCGCGAAAGTCAAAGCGCTCCTCCACCAGAGCCAGCCTGACATGCAGACCCAGAGATGCAGACCCAGAATCCTGAGTCCTCCAACAAATCTCTACACCAAAATCCCTTGGACTCCGCCTGGGATGCCGCTCCCGCTCAGCGCCCTCGCAGCGCTTCACGCTGCGCTCGCAGAGCGTGGCTGTGCCAAAGAGGCCGCTCCAGCGAGCTTCCCTGGTGGTCGCGCACGGTGGGCCGAGGCCGAGACCTCATCTCAGCTCGAGGCTCTCTGCAGAAAAGAATAAAAATCCCCGCATCTCTGCTTCCGCTTTTTGCGTGTCCGGTGGCCAAAGTCGAGCTTCGGCCGCCTCGGCTGCGCACGCACGAGATGGTCCGCAGGCCAAGAGAAGGAGACGAGATGTGGCTCTGTGATGTAGCCGGAGCACCAGCCAGCGGTGGCGCTCGTCAAGATCACCTCGTGGCTCCGTGGGAGCCAGACCCAATCCGGAGCAAGCCATGAAGCCAGGTCCATGTCCTCAGATCGCGGAACTTCTGCACAATGACAGGAGTACTGGGATCGGTGGACTACACTACATCGGGCTCCAAGTCTCGCTTGCAGCCACCACGATCTTCCGAAGCCCCTGAGCCCAAGAGCAACACAGCTCCGACGGCTCCGATGCTCGCACCACTTCCAAAATAACACCTCTTCACGCTCTTCGTCGTGACGAGCAGTTCGTGCAGTATAGTGACATGGCAAAAGGCGACCCCTACATTCCCATATGTATTCCGTAAAGTGCTCTCCGCCCTTCCCGCCTGGCTGCGCACGAAGCGGGCTAGCGCCGCGGCGGCCGCTTTCGTCTGCCCCGAGGCGGTGAAGGCGCCGAAGTCGTCCAGCAAGGCGCCATCCTGGCAGCTCTTCATTCAGAGCCCTTCAAGAGTCAAGCTTGAAGGCTGCCTTTTTTGTTGAAGGGGGCTGCCTTTCTAGGGTTGTGGACTTGTAAACGCACAGACCTCACAACGAAAGGCTGAAGGCCGTCACATGCTGTGAGGGTAGAGTCCTGCTGGAGCTTTTGCGAAACTCAAGCTGAAACTTGCGCGAAAGAGCCATAAAGTCAGAGGTGTTGGAAGACCACATGGCGTCCCGGGTGCCCAAAAAGCTCGCCGGAACAGCGTGGCTCTTGTTCGCGAAACAAAATTTCGACGGGAACCCTGTGCAACTTTTGTGGAGGGCCCATGTCAGAACCACTACATCACGACGGCATGCTGCGGATGTCTACAAGTAGCTGCCCTCGGGCCGTGGCCGCTTAAACGACCAACTCCTCCAACCGCAGCTTGGGTTGGCCTGCAACCGGACCGCCGTTGATGATTGGGTTCTCAATCTGGCACTGGTTCGTGCCGCGCTCAATCTTGAAGAACCCATGATCTCCCCAATCAGCATTCCAGCTGTTGGCAACCTGAGCGTCAAGAAGCAACCGAGAAGGAAGCTCATGCTTAGTTCTCACAGCTGCGCTCCCATGGTAGCTGAGCCCGCGACTAGCCAGTAGGGTGTGCCGTTCTCGGTGCCCCACCCGAGGATCTTGATGGCATGGCCACCCAGCATAGGATCTTTGAAGAAGAAGCCGGCCTTGTAGACACCGGACTTGTACGACAGGAAGCTTCGGTGCACGAAGAACATGCCGGTGATGGGGCCATTTGTGTAGATCTCCTGCCTCTTTTCTTCAACAACCGGGCCCCAAAAAAAGTTCAAACTTTCTAAGATAGAGCTAATATATGAGGCCAAAAAGTTGAAAGTTCTCCAATTCGCTATCTAAGCTGCATCATCGCCTGGGCGCAGTTGGTTCCACTGCCCTGCTGGCACACACTGTATCCACCACTGCCGTAGTGCTTGCTGCTGCTCCAGTCTGCGCCATTGTCCACACACTTGCTCGCGCAGGACGGCGTAGGCTCCTCCCCGGTGCAGTTCTTGTAGTGGGGCGACACCGAGTGGTGTGCGCAGGGTTGCATCTGGTAGGAGTAGCACATGGACTTGTCACCGTAGTTTCCACCATCCACGATACCCACAGACTTGTAGTACGTGTAGACGGTGGACGGGATCCCACCGTTGCAGCCCATGTCGCCGAGGTTGCAGCAGCTCGTGACGTCCTCGGCAGATAGGTGGATCTTCTTCTGGCCTTTGCTGGCGATGCAGACGCGATCCGTCATGGCCTCTACACTTCCGAAAGCCCAGCAAGATCCGCAGTCGGCCTGATCGCGGACTTCCTTCAAGCTGGGGCAATTCTGTGCTCGCGCATCCGTTCGCCAGTCAAACTCCGTTGGCAACTCGACATCCTCAGGAGCCTTGTAGGGAAGAACGCTGCCATGGTCCAAGTCTTGCAAGGTCCCCATAAGAATCTTGGCGTCTTTCAGTGTGGCACCTGCAAAGCGGATGTTCTCGCCTGCCGTCCATGTTGAGCCTTCAGCGGAGTTCACGGCATCGATCAAATCCTGCGAGACAGCCTTCTCCTGCAAGGCCTCCTCATCCATCAACTCGCCGTGGCTCTCCCACCTTGTCAGCCGTGCGGAGCACACGGCAACCGCGGAGGCAGCCACCAGTCGGCGCAGAGCCATCGCGGAGTGTAATGGGGCGGCGCGGCAGCGGATGAAGCCTCAAGAAGCTTAATGCTGCGGCATGCAGCTTTGTGAGACCCAGAACAAGCCAAGTCGACAGAAGGAGCGGTCGCGTGTTCACGATGCTGTCATCTCGCACAACCGGCCGCATATTCGCGAGGTATGCCCCGAGCATTCGCGGTTACGCCTGGCCGGGAATTTCCTATTTCCAATCGATGCACAAGCTTCTCAATCGGATGCCTGCTTCCAGCAGGCAATACTAGCCAGCGCCTACGACTCAAGATGCAGTAATGATGATACTTCATGATGATGATGATGATGATGATGGAGAGGTGTCGAACTGCAAGGTGCAGGGAGTCTCGACGAATGCGCTTCGGCTTCGCCTGGCAGAGCCAGTCACGAAGTAAAGGAAGACGCCCGCGGACGAAGGGAGGCTCTGAGCGCGCCTCTTCGTGGCGACTGTCTGGCTCCGGGGACTCTCTGTGCGCACATCCCTCTCTCGGGGGGAACTCCAGGTCCGAAGAAGAGGCAAACAGCCGGGAACTTTCAAGTGGCTCAAGGCTGCGCCGGTGCCCGCAGAAGGTGCCTTCAGACCTGCTTTTGTTGAGAGTCTGTCAGCCTTCGGCATCTGCGAGAAAACGTCAAGATGCAAAACAGCAAGATTGCCTGGCGCATCGCAACCGTTTTGGCACTTCCTCAGGCGTGTTTCGGAGTTCCTGCAGCCTCGCGGCAGCAAATCTTTCCCATCTGCAGTCCTCATCGAGATGAAAGAGCTCGATGTTCGGAACGTATTCAAGACGACTTTCTCGAAGGTGGCAAAGACAAGTCGAACAAGTTCAGACGCGCTTGCTGAAGCTTCTTGGTGCCGACGCTCAGGCGACAAGGCCACACGGAAACGGAAGCGAAGATTCGGATTCTTGCGTTTACCACGTCCTTCGCCTTCACTTGGATCTCTCCAGAGGTTGTGCGAAACCCAAGCCCGCAAAGACGTGGAGTCCGAGCCCTGAAAGATTGGAGTCAGAAAGCGATTCCTTGGAAGACACTGTCTCCCGTTGGCGAGATGCCTTTGCACCAATCTCTGGTGCACAGAGGGCCAACTGGGTCAGCCTGCCCGTTGGGCACGCTGCAGCCAACTGTCTCCTGTTGCCCCTTGGGGTGGGGGCCGACAAAAGGACTCTGTGTGTCCTCCCATCGTCTACGGTGTCAGGAGCACGAAGGGCTTACAAGGGTAGCCGTGGCCCGAAACAGCTTGTCCCGCAGACCCAAGAAGCACTCCGAGCGCACTCGCGAAGCTCAGCTGCAACCGAACCCTGCCCTCGCCATGCTGTGAAGGGTGCCTTGAGTGCCGGGGCGCAGTCGGCTCGGCATTGCTCCCCATGGGAGAGAGTCCAAAATGGCCGGCACCTCAGAGACGATCGTTCCATCCACCTACTGTACACAGGCTTAGACATAGACAGGCAGATAGGCATGCGGACAGAGAGATGGAGAGAGTGAGCACTGGAGCCCCACGCCAAGCGGGCACCGAGGAGAGCCCCGCAGCTGACTCACTGCATCCTCCGCCGATGCGAAGCGTGGGTCCGCCACCGGTGGCAACGTCTCATCTCCTGACATTTTTTGACACTCACACTCGGACAAGCCTGGCAAGGTCTGTAGATACAGGTTCGACGAAACTACGTGGTCTTCCTGAGTTGTAGGTGTCACAAACTCAGGTTGCTGTCAGACGAGATCCGAGAAAGGCCTACCAGCAAGTGTACAAGCATAACACGTGATCGCAACTGACAGCAGTCCCTCAAAGCGCAAACGCTAAACCAATGAAACCCCACGACCTAGTTGGGCTCTCTGAGGGACCAGTGAAACACAGACTGGTAACTAGTGGTACACTCCTCAACCGGCGAGTATCATAACACCGTGCTGTCCCCATGCAGAAAGAAAGGTGTTGTTGGCTCCATGCACATAGCAGCTTGCAGGACGGTGGCAAATGTCTTCATATGTCCAGGCAGGTCACGGCTAAACAGTTTGTGTAAATTCATCTCCAGAGTATCCAGAAGCACACTCCCGTGCAGAGGCATGCAGATACATGCAGACGCAGACATCCAACCTCACATGTCTGTCGGTAGTATACATCGGCCTAGGCCTCGAAACATCCAATCGTCATGCAGAACATGTAGTCCCAAAGTCGCATTCGTGTTGTAAGGACCAAGTATGTAGGCAGGCCCATAACGGATTACAAGCATGAAGACTCCCATGCAGACTTTCAATGTATAACCATGCAGTGCAGCGAAACGAAGAGGTTCCATGCATAGTTTCCATACCCCGGCCCATCCCATCAGAGGGAAGAGTATATTCCAGAATTCATCCATGCAAGCAGCGAGCGTGCCGACTCCCATGCAGACTTCCGATGAATAACCATGCAGTGCAGCGAAATCAAGAGGTTCCATGCATAGTTTCCATGCACAGGCCTAAACCATCGGAGGGAAGAGTATATTCCAGAATTCACCAATGCAGTCAGCCGTTCCACAAGTATCCCACGTTGTCCATGGGGTTCAAATTCGCCATGCAAGCACATAGAGTCAAGTAGCAGGAGAAGCAAGAAACCCACCATGCAGGCCAACGGCTGTCATCTTCGCCCACACAGGTACTTGTACCAAAGTGCAGAAAAATCTTTCAGGTCCAGCCCTGGCAACATGCTCCTTCTGTATCATGCAGGAAAATGCACTGAAGTGCCATCCAAATTCGCTGGAATGCCATCCAAATTGGCGACCAAGAGAGCTTGGTAGCCCCGAGCCAAAAGCTTTAGCGACTTTCAACTCCGTATTTGGTGGTCCCGCGGTGTCCGTGCCAAGGCAGCATCCACATACAGGTACCATGTACGGGCACGTATGCGTGCATACGTATCATGAAGGTCCATATAGAACTCCGCTGGCACTTTCCGTGCTGTCCTGGAGCGCAATTGCAAGATTTCATCGCATCTCTGCGCCAGACGCCTCCAGTAAGCAGCAACCAGCGGGAGCAGGCTCAGGTGCTCCATCCCAGGAGTGTTCCGGATGTCATCCAGAAAGCCCAATATATTCTGGGCAAACAGTCTCGGGTTCGCCGAGTCCTCCATGGTCTCGACAAATTCCTGAATTCCGATGCCATCATCCATCCATGCAGGCAGGCGTCTGCTGAGGCCAAAGGTCATGGCACAACGAATGAAGGTGAAACTAAGGTTCAGTATGTCCGGGGTCAGGCTTAAGTAGAGGTTACAAAGGTAGGCACGGAACTACACTAGCAGTAGGATGAATAGGTACAGAAAGGAACCCCAGCAGGCAATCAGCAGCATCCATCATCAGTTCGTCAGTGTTTTACACACATCAACGATTTCTGGGTTTGTGAGTTTGGGGTGTTACTACGCCTCCTGACTGTCCATGACCTCGATCACGTCGTGGCAGTCCTTTCGAGAGGGCTGAAGCTGCAGGAATTCCTGTAGCGTGAGCTGCTTTAACCTGGGAGTTTCTTCGAGGGCTTCTTTGAGGTCGGTTTTTGAATTGATACGAAAGCCAAGATCAAGCAATTGGTCAAGGACTTCAGAGCTGAGGGACCCTAGATTGATGGTGTTAAATGCAACTAAGACAACCCGTTGTCGGGGATCAATGTGGGGAGGTACATATCCAGCATGAAGGCATTTCCGGGCATTCAGCAGATAGGGTGTGTCAATAGACACAACTCGTCCTTTGATGCGGGTTCCCAAGTGCTCCATGACAACATCCCCACAGGAATCCTGTACCCAGAGGCCTGCTCCTGGCAACGGCGGTGAAATTTGCATCACAAGGGACTGATTGCCTCCATTATTGGTATCTCGGTGAGGCCTTGACTTGCATCCCCGGAAAAGAATACAGCAAGTAAACCTGAACCTCGGGGCCACAAACGCGATCATTTTAGTGATCACAAGGGTCGTGAAGGGCATCTCAATCGAAAAGCTGAACAGACACTTAGAGTTACGCGGGTTGGACCCAGTACCGAAATATCGCGTCCCGTCTTTGGCCCCTCTTCTCAAGTAAGTGTTCGGGATCATGTTGAAAAGATTGAAGACATCCCTGGGGGTTGGAGGTTTAGGGTGCCGGAGGAGGAGAAGGGCACGATACTCAATTGGTTTGAGGAGTGGGTCGGCGCTCAGGGCAAAGGGTGGATCAAGGGGAAGTGTTTGCATAGAACTCAAAGGAAGGTAAGGGGAATATCCCGTATTCTCAACCTCAAACCCAACAGCTTCATCAGGGTCCCCTTCAGTGGGTGTTGTTTCATCATCAAGTGCCACAGGAGTGGTGACCGAGGGACCTGACAAGGCGAAGGGAAAAGCTTGCATCACAGCAACAGTGGTTCCAACCAAAAACCCAGAGTTATAACAGCTGACCCCTTTAACTTCAAAAGTGCTGGGAGCCAGTATGAACATGCAGCAAATCGAGTCCTAGGAGAGGCCATGTTGTTGCTCGCAACTGTGTTTGCGGTTCTTTTTCTGGGATTTGCATGGTATCTTAAGGTCGCCTGCTAGCATTTGACACGGCCTGGAGACCATTGAGTGTTGGGACCACATCAGTTTCCAACACTGATCTCAGGTGCGAAAAGGACATCTTGACTTGCTTGAAATTCGTTTCATTATTAATTACCAAAGCCTTTGCGTGCATGGTTTGATCTTCACATGCTCTACGAATTCTTTTAAAATTCTCATCATGTGCTTCCAGTTGCTCGACGAAGTTATCCATGGAAGCTTCAACTTGAGATATGCGGTATCCCAGGTCATGCACAATGGTTTTGAATTCATCTCCAAACTGTCTGATGAGGGACTCCACATCTTCTCTTTGTCGAAGCTGTTGTGCCAGGGTTTCCCCGAGCTTGCGATCATTCATGCGCACCAGCTTGAGGATGTTGTCGCATAAATTCTCAGAAAACAAAGTTCCCTCCACAATAACCCCTGCAGTGGTGGTGTGCTGTTCCAGTGTGGAGGCCTCCAGTAGCTGAATTAC